CAACTGATTTAATTTGAATACTTTTAAGTTAGTGATTATATTGTGTTACCTTTTATACTATTCAGTATTTTATGTTTCTTCTTGATTTTCAAACTCATCACTAAGATTTTTAACAGATTTTCTGTTTGGAACATTGAGTCTTGTCAACATTTAGGGATCAAATAAGCTGATTTAATGAATATTGTTGTCTACATTTTCCTTTCAGTGAAGATTATCTTCACTCGGGTCTTCATTCAGAATGTATAACATTTTTTTTAAACAATTGTTAATACACAGAATATTTCTGAAAACAGTGAATTCATCTAGCCGTTGAATCAAACATGTACATAGATGCGTCAGGTCTTACATGGTTGTTTGATAGTGTATTATAAGATTTATTGTCACAGTTTATAAGTAATATTCTAGTCAGTAGATTTATACTTTAAAATTCAGTTTAGAATCCTGCTATGATTATAAAATTCACCAGTTACACTAATCATCAGTAGTTCAATGCATACAATTTTATATGTAAACTTTGAAAAAAGTTGATATCTTGTTTATTTAACTGGTTGATAATCAGCTGAATATAGATATAATGAATAAATTTTTAAGGTTGGCTACTCTTATATCAATTATACTCACATTACCAGAAATATTACTCTACATATTAAATTGAGCTTCTAAACTTCATCATATAACTAATAAGTTAAAAATTTAATCTACAAATCTGTTGCTATGTAATTCCTGACAAGTATTCACAAATAGCGGTTATTAGCATCTTTTCTAGTAAAGAATTGTTCTTTATTATATTTAATACTTATAAATGAAGGTTTATTGTTGGTTCTTATCCATGTGTGATCCTTCTTGTATAGGATACCTTCCGTCTTCAGATGTTAGCAATGTATCAACTCGTTTATTGATGTTATATAAGGTTGTGTATAATTAGGCGTATTATGAAAATTTCTCCTATTCACTTGCAATCCACATCTCTATTGAATTAACTGAGTAACATGAAATGTGTAGATATCACTTCATAAATACTTTTTACTTCAAATGAAAACAGCTAAGATAGATTACTTAAAGAATAAATAATACAACTTAATTACTTACACCTGTTAATCCTCGCGGAGGAGCATACGGCTCCGGGTGTGTCTCCTTAAGAAAACCACCTGCTTCACTTTGGGCACCTGAGCAGTATCACAGCCCTCATACAAATCAAATAAGATTTGTGTGGCGCATATTTATCTGGTGCTTCCTTGTACCAATATTCATGTGTTTAAATAAAATAAATACGACAAATTTATATATAAAATTCATTTGATTGTTAAATGCTCTCTATATTGTAATTAATATAAAAATTATCTAGTGCATCCTTCTCAATATTCATTTGTTTCTTCTCTTAGGTCTCAATCTTTCTACAAATCAAAGTTCATAATTAATACATTTGTTTTGTTGAATGAGAAAAGAAATGACTTTTTCATCAATTCCGTATATCTCATATTTACACCTCCTTAGTCAATTGTTTTTCCAATATGTACACACAATGTGATAAACAATCTGTGTGTTTTATTAATGTGAACTTACATGCTCTTCTTTTTTTTTATAAAAAAATTTGTAAGTTTTTGGCATGTTTAATTTATTGTGAATTAATCCACATCGTAAATATCATATTGTTTTGTGATATTCTAAGCTATCAGTATCATTTTCAAGTGCCTCTTAAAGAAAAAAAATTAGTGTACTCTTTTCATACGTAAATTTAATAAATATCTTTTTCTCATTTACAATATCTCTTCAATTATATAGTAATGCTGTCATTATGTAACGTTATTATTATTATTATCCTTTGAAGTCATGTTTTATTTCTTTTGAATATTATTGTCTTAATTATTTGGTTATTGTGATTTTATATTTGGAAAAAAATTACATTGACCCGTTTTTTTCCTTAAAGTTTGTTGCTTTTTATTCAACTTACCTGTGGTTCCCTCTTGTATCATCAATACTTCAGTTTTGTATACTATGTTCATTATTATTGGTGTTATGTAATTTTTCTGGATATGAAAGTCTTGTTTTTCAACGTAGTATTCCATCTACAAGTTAGTCGATTTAACCCATTTTTTGTGTGTAACTCTTTGATAAACTGCGATATGCGTAAAAAATTGGCTGCTTATATCAATTTATTAAGATTTTACAAAGAATAATAATGTCAACAGATGTAGACTGGTTGGCTTATACGTAGATGTGGAACAATTAGAAACCTTTCGAGGTTTAAAGGAAATTATGTAACTTATGGCATTTAGCGGGTTTTCTGACTTATTGGTACCTTCCTAGTTGTTTCGTCTCATGATTAACCCGCCTATTGCTTCATACATACTAATGAACACTGTAACACCCTCAGGTTTGGACGAAATGTGTATTATAACTGATACGGCGTTGTACATTGTGTGAGACAAAACGTCCAATCACATACATCAAATAATGTAATCCAGTTCAGATGAGGATTCTAAAAAATAGAGCTAATAGTTTATATACTTTATGACAATCGCTGCATGGGCATTCGAATGCAGGAACTTGTTCTCTAATTTTTTGAATTTCTTCTACTTCTAGTAAGTGATTCAGACTCTTAGAAACGTCTCAATGCACGATAGACTAAACATCTCTACTTTTTGATTAGGTTCATGTTTTCCGTCGGGAATTTAAAATAAAGAACTCGATCTCGCCGGTTATCACTGAAATAAGTAACGAATAGTGATGGTCTATTAATAAAATCTTAAATATACTTTTGCCGTCTGATTGACGGGTCACCTAATATTAATTAATGGAAAAAAGATACTGATACATTATGGTGATATTTTAGACAAGCATAACGAAGTTTTGGGCTGACCAACTATAGTGTCATCTGTTCTTACTCAGCCTTCTGAGGCACATGAGAGTATAGTTAATATTAGGAGAATGCGAACTAGTATTAAAGATTTGAGTTATCAAGTACGAAATAAGTATTTTGAGTTAACAATAAAGAGCGACATTCGGAGAAAAACACTAATATCAATCTGCTCCGTAGATGATGGATGTAATGAACTGACTCAATGATGTTAATCAACTCGAATCTGCAATTTTATTTGCTATCGGTACATAAATTAATATTCATAGAGCTGGAAGCTGTTTCCACAATTGTTAAATGATTATATAAACTGCCAAGAATGACAGTAATGCAAATAATAATAACTAGGTTAACTCTGAGCAGAGTTATTAACTAACCCTAACAGATCAGAATACAAACACATCTGACACTGCTGCATTAATGAAAAGTTAGGCGTAATACTGAAATTTTAGAAGATCGTATTTGAGCCTTATTACGCGGTCAAAGAATATTATTTCAAAGATCCTTTGTGTATTCTAGTTGAAATTTCATAAAATACATTTTTTGACGATGGCTAAGCTGTTTTGTTTGATGGAAAAACAAAACTTGATTCACAGACTCAGTTCAAATTATCACAATAAATACAACTACGTAACGAAAGCCTAATCGTTACCTAACTGAATTCGAGTCCACTGATTTAGTCATACTCCAGTTTATATTTTCATGTAGTTTCCTAATGCATAGGCTTCATTCCTACATTTTTAGCTTGATGTTACATTTTTGTACTTTTCCGTGAGGTATTTTACTGTCATGAGATAATTATTTACTCATAAAGATCTTATTTATTACAGAAACATAACAAATATAATATTTAAGTTCAAATTCAGTTATGCTAAAGTAGAAGAATAAGTATATAAAAGACACGCATAAGTGGCCTACTAAGATGATGCGTTCAAAGCTTCAGGTAGAATATTCCTATAGCACAGGAAAATATCTTATTAAATTTGTGAACCAATTTTAGCAGTCAATGGTTTCAAAAGTTAACTCATGAACACCAAGTTAACGAACTTGAAGTTCTGCCAATCCACCGCGCATAAATCGTTATAGTAATGCAACAGTTTTTTGCCCACTTTAGTCACTTACACTCAAAATATACTTGGTAAATCAACAATAATTTAAGTTAGTGATAAAAAGATCATGTATAACCAATATCAAGCAGTTTTTTCCTTTGGACACTGAGGTCACTCTTCCTAAGTCAACAAGATTACTTTTAATCAAGAAGTGCCCTTCACAGTACGGACAAATACCCTTATAGAACTATTAAATTGTGTGCAGGCAGGCGTTTTTTTCAAAAATTTCGTGCAATTAGTTCCCTTTATAAATTTAAATAAAGCCAGAGCAAACATGGACACCAGGCATACCATCGACATTCCTCAAGCTTTTAAAGTTATTAGCAGACAAAATAATGCTACTTCTCTTATGTTTGCTGAAGCGATTACGATGAAAAAAGCGCAAACCTGATCTATGTATTTAGAAAGATACAGTAATAAACCTATTGCTACCCTGGTAATTCAATTTTTGATCATTAGTTTTATTTTGTTAATGTTCAGTTTGTTATATTTCGCTTTCATTACCGAATGTCTTATTTTATGTACATTTAAACCATCCTCCTTCACCCGTACATTTCCACTCACTCAACTATCCTTAATTGTGTGAACTCATCAAATCTTGTTTAATTATTACGCAACCCATCTTACCAGTTTTTTTAATTCTCAGACTCTTGTGCAAACTCTTCACCCCTGAAATTATCACACAATATATCTTATCTGTCTCTGAACTTCACTCAATTATTACAACACCCACCCCTCGTGTTTCTTCATTCTAACACCAAAATGACCTCCGAATTGTTCTTGCACACATATATATAGTCATCATTGATAACCTGTTGTCATTCCAATCCTTCACATTCACTTATGTCAATTGTTCCATCCTATTTCTTATCCCGATGCTAAAATTCTAATACATATTTGGTTGTCAGCAACTGACGAGAAACTACGAAATATAATGAATTCATATTATTCTGCATCTATGTTCGTTCTGGTTTTATTTAATAAATTGTGACTAACTAAAGTTTGTGATGTATCATCTCGTAGAAACCCTGCAAACAAACATAATTCGTTTCTGTATTGTAATCTTTACTTGAGAAACAATGATCACTGATGTAGCAAATATTAATTTCCATTTAAAATTACAAATACAACAAAAAGGTGCATATTTATGTATATATATCTGTGAATATCCAAAAAGCATCAACAAAATGTATAAAAAATAACAATATGGACATCAATGACAAACGAGTCAAAGAAATTGCACATTTCAACCTCTTTTATCACTTAAGAGTAGTATGTACAAATAATTAAAACAAATTAGAAATATCGGACATGAAGGAAAAAAAAGTGAACAGAAGAGAAACACCACACATATTTAAGTAAAACCTATACTCAGACACACATGCACACAAACGTATAAAGTTTGTCGTTGGTTTGGAAGGTGAAACTAATTGGTTGTATGAGATACCAGGAATAGATTGTTTAGTTCATTGGAAGGAATATTAAGAATAACGATTAGTTATTTAATAAAACCTTCCTTTAAAGTACAAAAATAAGAAAACTCGTATAACAAAAGAAAAAAAAGTTTTATATCACAAGTACTTATTTTTTCTTATATGTGGAAGGTAATTCAGTTCCAGCGATTGAAATTATATCTTGTCGTCGTTGTATAGTGAATTGTTTTTTAGAAGGACGAATTTTTTTAGGTTGGTTAGGGCGACGACGTCGATGTCTACTATCAACAGTACTATTATTACAAACACCAACATTGGGATCCACTTCATTGGGATATATCGTCTCATATTTTAATTCTTGATCATATTCATGTTTTACTGAGACTTTAATTGATTTATTCATTATATCTGACGGTTTACATGGTTCGAAAGAACAGGGGTGGACAATGTCACCACGTTTCCATCTACTATTCATATCCTTAACATAGAAAGTGGACGTATGTGAAAGAAACATTATACACCATACAATAAATGTTTTGGTAAACTTATTCAATGCATAAATGTATCTCATCATTATTCAATTACTAGATATCACACTTTAATAAACCAATCTCAAAAAATCTTTTGTGATAAAGTTCAAACAATCCAATCAGTCAATACATTTAATAACTCAACTTTAGTGCAATTAGTTCTAAATATTCCGCAGATACAGATTGTTTATTAACGGTACATTTTGAGACACAATTAACATATTCTAGACCTTACGAAAACCAAACCAGTAAATAAAAGTTTAAATCTTCGTCACATAGCATGATGTAAACGTGCCTATCATATAATCAATAGGGAGTATACTTTCATTTTGATTTGCAAAGAACATCTCAAGTAATACAATTAAGCCTTGTCAGGAGTAAACAAGCAACTTCAGTAGCCAATGGCCAATTATACTGTATAAGCCTTTTCTTTCATCAAACTTTTATCCTAAACTATGATTACAATTTGTTAGTTTCAATTGGAATTTTTCTATAATTACCTTCCCAAAGTCAACTCATTGAAGACAATCAATGACCAGATACGTGTTATGATTTAAACTGGCCGGTTTTATTTTCGAGTTGAACATTTGAAAAATAACCATGATTATTGGTTAATTGTTAAAGGCAGATTTAATTTGATTTTTTCTTACAGTATCAAAGTCTAATAAGTGTAACCTTTTCACCTGGATCGTGCACACTGAACGATGTACACACTTCTAATATTAAAGAAAGTGTTGATTCAATGACAAGCAACTATAAACATATAGCATATCAATTACATAATGAAATCACTTACTAATTTCCTTGATTTATTTGCATTTTGGCTAAACTGAAAATGTGGTTTTGTTGAATTGTTCTCTTGAGTTGAAATTTCATTTATCTCATTATTATCAGTACTAGAGATATTCCAAATAGGCCACCATGGACAATTTGCTTTGTTTATCAATAGTAAAAAAATTATTAGCAAAGTTAGTAACTATTCACAAATAGTGCTTAGAATGTAATTTAACGATTTTAAAAAAACGGGTATCACATAAGATGTGATTTTTATCCATTCTTAATATGATGGAACAAGAATTAAGCGTGATAGTAAGATATTGAAGAGTGAACAATATATAGCTTATGTATCCACTAAATAACTTCGGATCGTGTTTACAGTTGTATTGAATATTTTGTATTTAAGCATGTAAATTTTTAGAAAACAAAAACTTATTCTACTTAGCAGTTGTCTTTTCTTCTAATATCCCTTCAATTCGGGGCTTACAGCAACTTTGTCTCATGAAAAGTTATTGCTTGGTCATAATGTATCCTATCGTTGAGTTTATCTATCGGTATTTTATTCATTTACTTGAACAATTACAATCCTTATTCATTCAAGTATTGAAAAATATAAGAGGTTATTATTGACATCATAGAGTGTGAAGTGTATCAAACATTCATTTTTATCTCAATATACATTATATATAACATGAAGAAAAATTCTACTCTTCCTCCTTCCTAATCCGAACCCTAGCCAGGAACATTGAAGGGTTGCGAAAAATTTATTTGTATCCCTATAGGGGTTTGAAAGATGAATACTTTATATTCATCTAAAAGAATTTATGTGATTGTTTTTCCGATTTATAGACAAGAAAGCCCATAGAACACTTCAAGATAAATTCATTAATTATGTAAAATTTATTTGCCTTTTAAAACAAGTTAGACAATAACACCATCGGATGCCGGCTCAGTGGTCTATCGGTTAAGTGCTCTGGTGCGAGACTGGTAGGTCCTGGGTTCGAATCGCACGAGGCGAGACCGTGGATGCGCATTGCTGAGGAGTCCCACAATAGGACGAAACGGCTGTCCAGTGCTTCCAGGTTTTTCTTGGTGGTCTAGCTTCAATTGACTCATGATTTCAACTATGAAAATATTGTTTTAACTATAAACTATTGATTTTTAATGAAAACTATAATTAAGCATAAATAATAGCGTATTTATTAAGTATCACTATCACTTGTTTACCATATGTAATATACATTTTTTTTTCAAAATAGATGTGCATTAATACAAAACGATATACTGATGTGCTGAAACTTGTTACTTATCATGTATGATACATGAATAAGTAAACTATACTTCACCTTACAGTGATAACATTGAGTGTACATGTATTTCTTGTATAGAAAAGTACTTAAGAAGAATACAATTACATTTTAAATAAGTATGTTATGATTTGAAATAAAAAAGAAAACTACTAAGCAACAATATGATTACGAAAAATAACATAATAAGACCTTATAAGCGATTGGAGAAAATCATCATCTACTTCTTGTCTATAATTATAGAATTACGTGTAATAGATTGAAAATTTACACTCTTGATGAGTTTGAAGTTAGGAGGAAACGGTTCTTGATTTATATGTGAAGAATTTTACGATGTAGGATTGTCAGTATTGAAAAAAAGAGGAAAACAACTGATAACATGTAAAGTCTACTCTTTCTATAATATTTGTTAGTGTTTAATTTACAAATCAGATATACAACATATTATATAATACAATCGTGGTTGATAAAAAAATAGGATTTCTGTTTACAATGAGAAAAAAAGACTATTTAACCACTTACTAGGAGCACCGACAAACACTTTACAGATTGATTTTGGAGGTAGAAATTCCGAAAAATTAATAGTACCAGTAAAGTGTTTATTACATAAACCATAGATAAGTGGTAGAAGGGCAGGAAAACGCATTGTCCAATAAATTGCCATACCTTCTTGATTATAACCATACATTGCACGAATAGGTTCTGGTAATGACCATATATGGTTATGTTTATTGCGTATAGCACGTAGAAGGTATAAAAGAGAAGTATCCTAAGGAGTAGTAAGTGAACAAACAGTAAGAACAATGTTGTGACCTTGGTTATTTATATAAGATCGCAAACATAGTTGATTAAACAGTAAGTTTATTAAGCATATAGTATATTCGAAAAAAATAAAAAGATTACTGGGATTAAGTTTTCACATCATGGAAACAAATACACACACACACACAAAGACTTACTTGATAGCTTCTAGTACTTAATAAATTATCAACCAGTTCAGATTCTAGCCTAGAGAACCAATGTTCATTAAACACCCAATTTGTATAACGAATAAGATCATTTAACATTTGTTGTTGATGATAATTATTGGAAAGTTGTCTAACTGACTGATAACTTATAGTAGTCGGTGTACTACTTCCATTGTTATTATTATCATTATTGTCTTGAGTGCAGTTTCGGTCAGCAGCGTCCACTGAATGATTAGTAGCAGTGCAATTTTGAGAAGAAATATCAAATGACAAATCTTTAATATCCATAACATTTGATAATTCCTTGATATAAAATAGAGCAAGGAAATAATGGTTATTGTATCAATTATATAAATAAGTAAATGAAAGTATATAATTCCAATGCCCCTATTTCTTTTTTTTTTTAAAAGTTACAATACTATATTCAAAATATTTCTTAGTAGAGTAAATGTGAAGAGCACCTAATAATAATGAAATGGTAGTAAATATTCATTTCTTCAAATGAATATGGGGGTTTTATCATTTAAATATGAAATGTAATCGCTATCACAAAATAGCATAAGGCAATTGTTGATATTGTGAAATATCGTACAATCAAATTAGTAATGTTAAGTGAAGATTTAAAAAAATTTTGAAACAGACGAAAATGGATTAATCGATCAATTTGGAAGCATTCAAATTTTGTAACTATTAAAGAATGTAGGTTGATCTCCAATCAATTCACACCCCTTAACATGAGAAGTTAACCTACAATATATAACCACAGAGAAATAATATTTCGAGTAAGCAAGCCAAGAAGGAAGCATTGCCTTTTTTAATCCTTAAAGTATGAGCATTTTCATTGTAGTTTACAAGATGACTTAAAAGCAGACAATGATGACCTGAATTTGGTCAATCGCTTTATCCTTTAGCCATTTTTTTATTTGAACAATGTAATCTTATCAATTTCCAACTACATTTAAAACAATTAGTCCCTTTGATAAATACGATAATAATAATAATAAGATAAGAAAGTATAGTTAATCACATTTATGTGAGATAAACTAACGTAATGCATTTTGAATAATTTGTACAAGCCTGATGACGATTTAATTGAGAACGATTGGTCGCTTACATGGGTTGTTCTAATTTTTCCAATGGGAATCTTTAACACATATACTTGTTAAGCGGTCATAATATGAAAAATAAAAAGCCAACTAGGTAAATTAGAAGGTAAAAGGGAAATAGAAATAATAAAGAAAAGAATGTGAATCAATATTAACAGGGTAGGTTTAAAGTGAGAACAAGTTATTTTTGAAGACATTATGCAGCTTTGAGTTTTCGTCAAGTCTCACCTCTGCTTAAGAATAATCATCTTTCCTTAATGTTTCAAACAATAACTCTATCTTTACCTCAATAGTATCCCTAGTGTAAATACAATTGCACCTATCGTGTTAATGTTATCATATAGTCCTGTTAAGCTTCGTTTTTTCATTGTATTATCCAAATTTTCATTTCATCAAAGACAGATTTATTTATTTAATGTATCTACAGTTATGTACATTTATCACAAATTGAAAATATGTAATGAAAATTAAATTTAAAAATGATTTAAAACAGAACAATACATATATATATCTTACCGATATGAAGCGTATGACTTTATTTGGTGACCAAAATAGTGGATAGTAAGTGATCTCTTCAGCTGTTGGTCGATCTTTAGGATCAGATGAAAGCATTGTTTGTATAAGGTAACGGGCTAAATAGCCTAAAATAGAGATGGGATGGGATGAAACAGAAAAGTACAAAACACAATCATAACAAACCTCACATTTTAAGTGCACAGCTACATAAGAAGAAAACAAAAAATGTCCCTATAAGTATGTATTAACAACATTCCTACTTTTATAACACAGTAAAAAGTGAAACCAAGTGTAACTTGGTAATGTAAATTACATATCTTTTTTAATATCAACTGATACACATATACTAGTTCCTCAATATAAAGTCCTACAATTTTTCTCAGTGATGGTATTACATATGGAGAATGTTCGAAAAGCAACTTCAGTTATATAAATCTTTTATTGTTTAGTATTAATCTCTTTATAGACAGGATCATGATAGGACAGAATAAACTACTTCTTTACATATTCACATTATGAGGAGGGAAAATACAGCATCAAAAGGTGAAGTAAATTGATATACGACAACCGGGATTCTCTTCATATTGTTTTATGATGACGAATAAAAGCATCAGCATTACAGCTTAATAACTCTATTAATAAACGAAAGAAAACCATTTGAAAAGTTACGGTGTGATATGTAGTTAATAGTAGAATAATTTGTCGAATTTTCCAGACTTCCTACTTAACTTAAGCTAGGTTGCACAATACTTACATGTTATGTATGTCACTTTGTGACACAATTGTGTACCACATTACCATGTTGAATGGGATTATGATGTAAAAAGTTCTGGAAAGAAAACTCATTGTCTTATGGAAATGATTTCTTCTGCATTTGTATACATAAAGAAGAGTAATCTAGATAACTTTAAGATAGATAGCCTATAAGTATCATAAACTAAGGAGAAATTTAATAAGGGAAGTGTTTAAAAGACACATATTGATAAACTCCCACATCAAGTGGTACAAGTAAACAAATAGGAGGAAATCTCAAAGAGGGAGATGTGATAGATCGAGTAAGTTCAGACACATTACATGCGTTCATAAGGATACTTGGTAATTAAAAAATAGAAGGCTTGAAGGTTTACTATTGGAGAGTAGAATATTTATCTGGCAAAGATATCTGCCCATATATATATATATATATATATATATATATATATACTTGTGTGAACCATTCTAGTATTGCATTTATGTAAGAATAAATTATGTGAACTACTTAAGCGAGCTTCTGTGTTGTATCATACAATTATCTCATGTTCCCTTCTCTTGCAGCCTTTTCCGCCGTCATTGCTAAGTCTTCCACATAATCACATTCGTCGGCTCTGATGTTCCTCTTCACTTGCTTGTTTGCTTTTGTCTATTCAGCTTGTGCCTTGGATTTCTCTTTTCTTGTTCGGCTGATATTGATTGCTGCCTTCTTGTTCCTCCTTTCTTCAATCTTATCCAGTGTACCAACAGTGATCTATTCCTTGTGGCCCAGAACCTCCTGACATGTTGAAACGATTACCTCCTTGATACCTTTCCAGTTGCTCTCCATGGTAGCTCACTCTCCATTAGGTAGATCATGAAAGGCCTGGAACCTATTGCTGAGGGCTATGTTCAATTTGTTGAGTTTGTCAGTATCCCAAAGAAAAGCCGTATTAAACTTTTGTAATGTTGTCCGCCACATAGTCCAGTGCTTCTCAAGTTTTAATTTCATCTTGGCGGCCAGCAAGTGATGATCTGAGGCTATATCAGTTCCTCTCCTGGTTCTCACATCCTCCATCGTCCTCCTGAACTTTGTATTGATGCAGATATGGTCAATTTGGTTCTGTGTAGTGTGAAATCCAAGTGGCTTTGTGTATGTTTTTGTGTGGGAATATGGTGCAACCTATGACCAGTTTATTGAAATCACATAGGTTTGCAGATCTCTCACCACTTTCGTTCCTTAGATAATACACCTTAATAAAAAACAAGGCTATTGTGGACAATCAGTTTTTCTATTTTCTTCTTACTGTAATCATAAAATGATGTGTTTGTAAGGATTTGTGTGGTAACATAGGGGCGATTCGGTCAAAAAAATACGTACACTAATAGAAAATGATAAACTTTAGTCCGTAAAAACAAACAACGGGAAAGTGGAAACCATTAAAAACAAAATTCATACTAAACGCACAAGCAAGTGGCTATCTCAACTCGGTAGTCCAGTGAATAATGGAATTAACCTTTGAAGCAAAACGTATCAGATTTGAGTCTTAATATGAAGATCATTACTAGAATACAGATACATTCAATTGATGAGTCCCAAGTAATACGACACGCTTGCCTTGGATTTTAGTGCCAGTTACCATCCAAAGTTAGTAACATACCTACCTCTTATACAACATTTTGTCTTATTCTTTTGTGTCAAAACTCAACGATTTCCTTTGTCTGCAAGTATAGTCACCTTTCCAGTTTATTTTATTATTTAAGTCAACACTATTCATATTTAGAAAAAAAGCTCACACTTCAATAAAATTGAAACAAGAATGAAAAAGGTGAAAAGTAGACCAATTTGACCTTTTTCTTCTTCTTCGCATGTTTTATCCTCATTGTTTACGGGAGAAAAGAAATAAATAACAATTTAAAGAAAGAAAACCTGTTTACACGTTCAATTATAACAAGTGTTGTGTACACAAGTGTTTTATAAGTCTAAGTGGGAAAAAATTTGTAAATGCAATTCATTTAGTTGTGTGAATGAGTGACGTTGTTTGTTTTTAACAAAGGTCTCAACAATGGGTGTGGTTGAGTAAAACAATAATAACAGTAATGATAATAATAATAAAAGTCCCCCAGACTAGTAATCTTATTCTAATAACTGAGTCTTACTCATTTTATTCCTATAAGCGTTTACGCATTATGTAATCACTTGTTACTGGCTGATTAAATTCTTGTCACAATCAATGTTGTAAAATTTTCTTTTACACATGGTATATATTTACAATATTCAGTCTATGAAATTTATTTACACCTTTGCTATAATATACTAATGTGTTTGAAACATAACTTACAACTAAACTCTTTCATGTAAGTAATTTACACCTGTTTTGTAATAATGATTTTTAAATATCATAGGTAATAAGCAGCTGACGACAACCAAACGAAATAAGATGAATTTATGCTATTCTGCTAGAATCTTGGTACTTGCTCTTTACAAAATGATAAAGGGAACTATGTGTTTGAAACATCCATAAGTAACTTTTCGTTACACAAATTAATTTATTAGCTACAAAATCGTAGAGAAACGGCAGGCACTCTTCCCATGAGCACGATACACATTGTGTCGGTATTAATCAACTTTAGTCAGTTCGTGTATACCATACGATAACGCAGTGGATACTTTCTAAGCCTTAGTAATAATTGGTAAACAATGAGTCCTATTACTTACTGCTTTATACAAAGATCGTTATAATCGAATTGAAATAAAAGAACAAATTTTGATGCCGAATAATATGAATTTATTATATTTCGTAGTTTCTCGTTAGCTGCTTAAACCAAATATGTATTGGAATTTTAGCATTGAGTTAATAAATAGTGTGGAACAATTAACTTAAGTGAATGTAAAGGATTAGAATGACGAAGGGTTATATTATATATATAACTGGTAAAAGTGAGAAAAACCAATATAAAACATCTAAAATCGGAAAAACTTTTGCTTGACCTTACAATAAACATAATGAAACTAAAAATGATTAAAAGTCTGTTTGAATGAAGAGCATATTACTCAGGTTTCATAATTCTACAGTAAATTGCTAATTATGTCAATGAACAAGTTAGATGATTAAAACACACAATATGTATCGATTTTAAATCGCAAACGATATTTATGAGAGTAGGTAAATAATACATTGAAATGATTTACTACCAAATGGACATTTAATGTATAATGATAATTTTAAAATGAAATTACCACTAACACTGTTACTACCTCTAGTATTCTGAGATTTGTCCACAGTTTTATTTCACTGCGCTAGTGGGGTATGGCAAATTGAACGGTTCGACGTTGCGACTGATTGAGTGTTAGGTGGTTGAAGGTAAGCAATAAGAAACCATGAATTTAAGTTTTACGCCAGTTGGCGCTCGTCAACAAGTTATCTTTACAATCTGGACAGGATAGATGCTCCCTATGAAGTGTAAACTCACATCATTCAGTGTTAAAGTTACGGACATTATCAATTATTATTATTATAAATGCCTTTATTCAATATTATATTTTGGTACAATATAGGATTCTCAGCACGAGGTATTTCAACAAGTTTTTTTTACGAAAAACACAAAGTAAGAAGTGAAAAAAGGATGAAAAAATATCTGAGTCTGTACAACTTATCAAATTTGAGACATGCTTAGGAATACAGGTTATTGACTAGGCTAACTCTAACAATCTATTCGTCACAGAATATATTTGCTAGGTAAGGTTTTACAGAACTTTTATAGATTTCCTTGCGTGGATGGATTTTAATGTATTTACGTCTCGTTAGACCAGAAGATAAACAAGGAGAAAGATATGAATGAAGTGGATGGTTAGTATCTGATAAGATAACACCTGCCAGGAGTTTGTAAGACTTAAGATGTCTATCCACAACCATATTAATAATAACCTCAAAAAATTCGCCAAACACCTTGCAAACTGCCTTCAGCACTCTCCGCAGTACAGCAAAGTCTTTTCCCAAAAGCCCGGGAAAGAATAATGGAGAACAGTAAAGAATAATAGGTAATATACAGGAATTGACAAATTGTAAGAGTAAATGGCGAGTAATCCCAAAAGCATGCAACCTCTTTATGTAGTAAGTCAAATGGTAAACTTTTTCGATAACAGTAAAACATAAGAAGACCAAGAGAAATCAGAGGAAAAAGTAACACCAAAATAATTGACCTTCGACATTGTGTGTATCAAGGAATTCCCAATGGCACAAGCATTATGGGGTCCCAAAATAGTGTACTGGTGATGTCCATGTCCCAGGCTAAAGCTAACAGCTCGATATTTAGATGAATTAAGTAGGAGACTACTACCAACAGACCAGCTGTATAGGTTATGCGATTAATAGACATAATGAGGTGTTAAAACAAAATAGAAAAAAAACAGACAACTTGTTGAAATATTTCGACGGCAGAAACAGGTAGCCCAGATATTCAAGCAGGCCGCCTACGATCAACGAGCCATTCGGTTCGCGACCTGTAGTACAAGGATATACACAGTGATTTATCAATAAGTTGTAACTAATATTATACACGTCCAATCCTCAATGTTGATCGATAGAATGAGAGTGCAAATCAATTAGTATAGAGACTAATAAGCGACGTTTTAGTAGTTACTGAGTCCAGCTTTAAAGATTTGGTTTGAACCCGACTTTAACTATTACGGTCCATATATACAAGTACCATCATTAGCTGCCACATAAAAATCATAGCTGGAGCTGAGTACACTAGTTTGTAAGACGTTACTACTCTGTGTTGCACAATACAATGATGAATACATACAGAACCACAATATTAACACACAGACAACAAAAGTAACTTATTAATTACTTTCATGAACATTGATTGGATTCTCTGTCAAAATGTCCAAATTAGGTAGACGACGTTCAGCTATTGCCAACTGTCGTTCATGTTGACGGCTTAAATTGGTACATCTAAATGATTTAAGTTCATTTACGGAGTCAGAGTTGTTGCCCACACTACCACCACCAGTAGTTGTAGTAAAAGATGACGAAGATGACACTGACGAAAATATAGTTGTTGATTGGGTATTTTTGTTGATTTGAAATTTATTCAATTCTTTACTACAGCAATCATATGGATGTTTACCATAAGTTAAAACATAATAAGCCAAGAGACCACAAGCGAATATATCAATTGCACAAGTCTGTTTGTATAAAAAGAGAACAAATAGAAAGGAGAATAAATAAACCAGGTATAAATTTATATGATGTTTATATGAACATGAGATTTATTATTAAATATCTTAATTTAATTTGTATGTTTTTCTTTTGCTTCTGTTAAGGAAGAGTATTTATTGTTGAAAAATTGGAAAAATGTAAACTGTAAGTAAATAATGACAAGATTTGTATGGCTGAAAGTATGAGTCGATTGAAGCTAAACCACCAAGGAAAACCTGGAAGCACTGGACGGCAATGAAAAGATTAACAACTTTACAGTCAATAAATGTCAATACATACAATAAAAATCAAATGAATGAATTAAAGAACTTAATTTAGAAAAAAACTCTCTACAATCAATTGTTCCTCTCGTAACTAATTGGTCAATTCTACTAGATATGGACAGTTTTAAAATAAATTTAAGTGATACAGATAGTGATGAATCCCTTTCCGATTGTAGTTCGCAGAATAATTTTATTCTATGGTTAGAGACTTGATTTGATACAGGACTAAAATCAATAGTTATGATCAAGATGTGTTTATTCTTTATTCTATCCTATATCTGGAATTTTAATATTATTTACCACACCATAAATTCATCGACTTCAGTATCTTTCATTGAAATATTTGTCCTGTGTTTTTCTTCCAAGCATTATTACTATTACTATTTCAACTTATTCCCGTTTCCAATTGCTAATATTTAAAGCTATCCGCGATTATCCGCCTAGCGCAGTCCGATATAACCGAAGAGAAACAAAAATAGTGTATGTTAAAGCTTGAAATGAAATTTCTGATGAGAATTACACTTTAATATGCTGGAATCACCCACTAAATGAATGGAAAAGTGGTTGAGATTTCTAAACACTGCATAATTATTGAACTTCGAAAATGATTCGGATAGCTTCATCCAACAAACATTAATACATTTTTATCGGTTTTAGTACATGTTCAAAAACATTCTGAAAGGTTGTACATTTATTGTTTGAAATAGTGTGTTGAAAAATTAAAGAATATTGTTTATTTAAAGTATAAAAAACGTTACCACTTGTGAGGCCGACTCTGCATCGCACAGTTCTGGTGCCATCCAACCAAGTGTACCAAAAGTGAAGCATACACTATTATCTGATACTTGGTTTTTATCACTATGATAGTTATTTACATTAGGATTTCTGGTATTATTAACAACATCAGGAGTATACTCTTCTTGGTCACCATATCTTACACTTATACCGAAAATATTATTGCTATTATTATTAGTTATACTAGTAGCATCCGATTGTACATCATTCTCAGGTGAATTAAATTCAACACTACTGTTATTTTGATATGATGATGAGAGTGAACGACTTTTAATTTGTTGAATTTTCACAGAAATGTGCGGTCCAATTGAATTGAATGTATCTTGATGTTGTTGTTCATGTTGATCTGTAGGCAATGGACGAGATAAACCGAAATCTCCAACTACGACACGTGCTTTCCCGGTTGAATTATTATTATTCACTTTATTAGAATTATTATCCAAAATTATAAGTACATTACTTGGTTTCAAATCTCGATGAACTATAGTTGAGAAAAAAATCAAACACAAAATGAGATTGCAAAAGCGGTTGCTGTCATAATTAAATCTATTTATTTAAACGTAAACATCGGTCCAAGGAGAGCCCAAATACTTATGCGCCACACTTCATCATTCGATTTATGTGGGAGCTGAAATACTACTCAGGTGCCCAAATCAAAGTGAGTAGTTTTCTTAGAGGGCCACTTCCCGAGCTTTTGACCTAGAGGTCTAATCCATAGGGCCGTGGAACAACATGAGAGACGCAGTCCCGTGGTAACCATTGGCCAACATTAGGTTCATAACCCATTTGTTCACTCAGGATACTGGAACTCATGTGCACCATTGGTTTTGAATCAGGGTTTTCCAAATCCCCTGGATGGATCCTCCCTATCCACCCACCCAGTTAAGGGGCCGAACATTCGCTTTCTGTCCTCTCAATTTCGTAAACACCACCGCCGAGAGAAGACAGTGAGTAGGAAATCCATGACAGTGCCTGTATGCTCAAGGCCATATGAGAGCATTTCGAGAGGGAGAGCTGACTCCCCCTACCTTTAGTCGTACTAGGGCATTTAAAAGTTCTGCATTAAGTTAGTATTTTTATTCCTTTAATATTAACAGAAACTGTTTTAATAAATAGATAAATAATTGACCAGTTTCTCAAGTTACTTTATTTATCATGCGTTATGTGTACGCAAAACTGATGTGACAGTTACAGTGCTATTCTATACGTGCAGTTGGTAAGTCTTGCTACCGATACCATCTAAACTATCTTAGCCGGTTCTGATAAACCCAGCTACTTTTATATGTCAACCGCAGCAAGAGAAAAGGCGAGAAGTGCAAGAGCTTTACTCGAAGCTTAACGTATATACAGAATAACGAGGGTATATATACAAATACACACGACCTTGAGTCTCTGAAAAATTTTAAAGCCATACTTAATATAGTAGCAGTATAGGTAAATATTCAATCGAAAGTGTACAGAATGATTCTGCATTTTCTAGATGTTTTAATGAAGCTTATATTCAGTGCTAATTGGATAAAGTGTTTACTGGAGTATCTGGGCCTGTCGAGACTTTGGTGAGGGATATTTTTGGACTACTCCAACAAAAATTAATTTTTCCACTTGAACTTTCTTGGCACTTATCACATAATTTCTTAACTAGCTGTTAAAGTTTGTGTAAAGGGTGAACTTTTGAACGTTATACTCATGATTTAAGTTTCTAATACGAGCAGTATTACACTAAATTACCATACCATATGACTGGTAGTGATTTGGTTGTCAATTATTGTATAAAGCGATATATAATGATTTAAGTGAAAAGAAATATTTTGTCGCATATATTTTTCTGTTAAATGTAATATCTACTTTTTACAGATCCAGAAATTCGTGTCTGATCACGTAGAAATATCAGGACTGATTCAGATTAATTTCCCTTATGATATATTTTTTTAAACATTATAGCAATAAATTATAATTTGGTTTAACTTCAGAAACAAAAGTTAAACTGTTCCATGCATAACACGTTTACTTGGTAATTTAAATAAGCGACTAATTTAGTTAATCATAAACAACACAAGGCCTGGCAAGTACATGGACCACAGTAAGTTGCTACACCATATCACTACTGTGAGGTGAAATTATCATAATAAACATTAGAGTGATAACAGTATCAGTGGTAATAGAAAAAACTAGCCATAGATTCTATGATTCAAGAAGAGTGAATTTGTAGAAAAAAGTATACAATAATTTCGTAACTAAGGATATATCACATCAAACAGACTTTCAGAACTATCATGTGGGAAATCAGTATTTTTATTATAAAGGGGACTAATTGTATGAAACTACTAGATGATTGGAGTAGTGTATTCTAATATACTCCTATTTGCAAGCTTTTATTTGATTCATTAATTACTGTTGTATTTCTTACTGTTCACTAATTATCACTAATTAATTATTTTCCTACTGTTCCGTTTTTGAGCCACATATGACTAGGTTGCATATATAGTGTAATATCTTAAATGATGCTGTGCGACTAGGTATTCAAGGTCTATAACTGCATGGGCAAGAGTACAACAGAGAAACAATTGGTTTATAACTTTGTCTTCTCAGTGGAAGATACTTGTGGGCTAATGAGTATTATGATTATCTGGTTATTATTTACAGTCACTTAGTATTGGATAAAAAAGTTACTGGTTTTACATCCAATACAGGAGAGAAAAAAATAATCAGAATAGATAATATGACTTCTGTCATGATAAGCGGCCTCATTGCGCGAGTCCCATTAAAAGATTTATAGGACAGGATCCGAGAGAAGAGAAAATGCATCAAAGCCATTGTGACAGATTCTGAACCATGTCACCCAACATCCCAACCACTAGTTACGATAATCCTGAGGAACCTAACTAGATAACCCGTCTACTGATGTAACATAGTCCAACCGTCACTGATATGAACTGATCCTAAGTCTTATTTAGGCTGACTCCAGTTGTTTTTCAACCTACTCTCACACTGGCTTGTTGAGGCAGACGGTGATTAGGCATACGTATTACATGTCCTACCTACATCACTTGATCAAGATCCACGATAAGATCAGTTGATTTGTTATCTTTAGCTTGTAACCGACGTTTAACTTCAGTATTCTTTACTCAGTGGTTCAGACATACGCAAATAATGCTATTAAGGAATCTTTGATTGGATAACAGTAACCTACAAATACTCTATATTTAAAAAATACGTCTTACAGTAAAGTACCGATCTAATCAGTCAACTATGAACTACGTAGGACATGATGGAATGAATCTATATAGGTTCAAGTTACTTTACACTTTACACCAACAAAGAAAAAGAGGAGGGTAAATGTTAGCTATACAGCTCAGAATTATGAAACAAAGGTAAAATCAATTTGAAGTTAGTTTTGTATCATGAACTAACATAAAGTGGATAAATATTGAAAATCCTGGAGTAATAAATAAGAATAAAAGTAGTATGGAAAAGACTAGACAAAAGCAACGGAACTAATGACTTACCAATCTGATTACGATGTAAACATGCAACAGCTAAAATAAATTGATGAATAATTTGTACTGGAGTTAAACCCAAATCATTGAGTGAAGATGTCTTAATGGGATCAGTTGAATTGATGTCATCTGATTGCAATGCATTTGATGCACTCAGGGATGATAATGCTTCATTTAAACTCAATGAACACCTTTGCATTACTAAATAGTGAAAATTTGCCGTACTACCCTATAAAGGCAAAAAGAAATACGTTGAGTGAGTACTACGAACAGATTATTTACCTTAATATAAAGTATTACCATTTGAAGAATTGAGCGAGTAGAGAACAATAAATAAATTTTTAATTCTAATGTGAGACATTTCATCAGAATGGACATTGATTCGCTTAATTGCACGATTTAAACCTGGCTAATTATAATCACACATATGCAAATAAAATATATACATATTTGTACGGTATTGTACTTGAAATTAAGTAGTGGTAAAATTGTATTTTGTAAAAACATAACATTTTCTGGATTAAAGTGAATGTAAAACATTTTAATATAACTCATTAACCAAATACAAGTGCATGTGTCAAACTTTTAGTGTAAGCATTAGTCATACTATGCAGGTGATTCAAATCTGGGAGGTTAAGCAGAGGTAAGAATCTGAGATCTAAAGTGAGTAAAATTTGAGTACTATACTCCAATTACAAAACTATTGTCCTTTAGTGAATGAATATACAAGCATACCTGAATTCCAAAGACAGAAAGATATCGAAACAATACGATGTTATATCTCATACCACAATAATTCATTTCATTAGAAAACAAAAGAACTAACGATATAAACCAACTTACTGTCCAATAACAACGAACTAAATGTGGATGCTGGTGTTTTAACAGTATGGCATGTTCACGACGCCAATGTTTTTCTAATAAAGGATGTCTTACAATACGTTTAACAGCGGTTTCATGTGGTCCATAAGTTCCACTTCATTAAAAAATAAAATAAAATAATTTCATTCATCCAATTCAAGTTTAAAAAAACAATTTCAAGAAAGCTAGTCAATATAGTAACGTAGCAGAACTGTAATGTAATTCAAATAAGCTAATGAGACTGCGAAAAGAGTAAATACACACACATAGAATGACATGAATTTGTCTAAATAGAAATCAAAGAAGTAATGACTCATTGGTCAAGGTGTTCGACTTTCAAAAACTAAGGCTCGACTCCCGCTCTACCAACTTTGGTTTGGGCAAATTAAGTAGTGGTACTACTAGTCATCAACTGATTCCAATAACACTAATATGTAGCTGGCGAATGAGCTGATGATAATTATAAGATTTACGTTTTATACATATTGGCGCAAACTACTGTCAACTTTATTAAACCTGAGTGTCTTAAAGACACGGAAAACAACATACCAAATCATTATAATCGACTATAAACTTAAAAATACTAACAACAGTGTTTTGGTGGACAGTCAAACGAAGACAGAGCTTACAATCTAGAAGATACCTGCAACGATTTGCATTTAGTCAAACAGAGACAACGATATCATGTGAAAATGAATCTTAGTCCACATTTGTTTTACAGTATTTTAATGTTTAGTAATAATAATTATGATGATTAAGCATGAAATTTTATTGCGCTTAAAAATAAAGTAACTTGCTATTTCATTCGTACAGATAGGCCCCTTATAGTAGTGACAATAAAAATGTTCCCATATTTTACGAATATTTACGCAAAACAGTGATTGTTACAGAAAGATGAAGATAAGGTTATTCTAAAGAATACTTAGTGTGGCGAAAGCGTACTATACTGACAAAGTTTGGTGAAGTTAAGAGTGACCCTGACCACAACCTAACGGAATACAGTCTTTGTGAAAGCGCTCTATATAATAAAAAGAAAGATAAATTCACTAAGGATAGAAAACTCTGATTCCTAAACCTAAACTACTAACCTTAAAATCATAATGCTAACATCCTTACCCTAACACTTCACTGTACAAGAAAATGATCATCTAAAATCCAAAATCTAAACAAAAACATGATGTTTAGCAACAAGTCATCCCCCAAAGGTGTTTTTAATTTGCACTAAAATTAAACACCATCTACCTTGATTTTGATTGGCCGCTCAGGGCCGTATGTACGGTATACTTTTACTCTTAATGTATAAGAAAACCGTTACGAAAGCGACGTCAAAAAAATCAACGAACCAGAAATGAAAGGATAACCCATTGAATTTTTTATTCTTATTATGCTACGTCTCAACAGCACTCGATGATGAATATCAAGCAAATAGTTGAATATTTTAATCAAAATTAGTTGCCAAGTACAGAGTTATGTAACTAACCTCGAGTCAGACTTTCGTGTGTGGGTGTGTGAAAAAGCCGAGATCACTGAGCGTCTAGTATTTTAGTGACTAGACCGCCGTTCAGTTTATTATTTTTATTCAACCACGCTTGTTTGTAATTTATCAGAGGCAATGGTGTGATTATATGATAACCGCGAAATTATTATCAAGGTACGTTATATTAAGATCTGAAACAAACAGGCTTCCGATTATCATTTTTAAAAATAATAATATAAAAAGTATTGAAACTTAATTTGAAGATTTATACCATATGAACAAGGGACCTTTATCACAAAGAAAATGAATAACTCAACAAGTGAATTACGCGACAAATTCATGTACAATACAATGCAATATGTACAGTGAAATTTATACTTACGCAAAAACCATAGTACCGTTTGCTCCATGACCTAAAACTTTGTTTAAATTAAAACGAATTGGTTCCGGTTGTCCAACTTCATGTGCTGAACACCCAGCCCAACCACTAGAATCTGGTGTATCGAAGTGTGATGGAAGAAGACCTGCTACTATTGAACTTGTTTCTTGTGAAAGATCCGTCTTTGTTTTAAGTGCACTTGTCGACGGATGACTATTTTTCATGTCGATATGTGTAGCGTACGATTTTGATACGAAATTGTATACAATATTAAAATTCTTACAAATCGTTTTAAAGTCCGAAATAAATGTTAAACAGTTCATTGTATTAGATTTCACAAAATTGTTTATGAAGTATACGAACACAGAAAGTATACACAATACAGTGAAGAACATTGACAGGAACCAAAATAATTTATTAGTAGGAGTAATCTTTGCATGTTTATCATCAGAATAATTATCAACGTCATTGATGTAGGTCTTGTTAACAGGTAAATCTTGTAATATTGTAATTTTCGGAGAATTTACAGTTTCCGTTGGATTTGTTAAAGGACTAGGAGGAGGTACAATGACAGCCCACCTATTTTTTTTCCCAAAATAAAGGAACCAAATAGAAAGGACAAAAAACGATGAATGTTAAAAATTGGTTTACGATCTACATAAAGCATCTACATAATCCAAACGACTAGTTACATTTTCGCTGAAGAGTTAATAATACTACTGGAATGTCTAGATGGAAAAAGGTAAAGCATAGTCTGAGTTGGACATAGTAAATAGTTCAGAGTGAAATGCTTCAACTGTATTACGAGAACTCGAACGATACTTGAAACTGTTACACGATAGATGTTATTTTACGTGTGAGATAGTTGCGTACAGTAATCCATAATAACCATAGATACGGTCTATATATCTTGAAAAAAAGAGACCGTTACAACACAAGTTTAGACTAGATAAGAAATAAACAAGAAACTTATATAATACAATAAATCATTCTTAAACACAGTCGTTAAATGTCCGATATCGTTTTTATAAACAGATATAAATATTTATTATCCAATTATTAAGAAATCAATCTCAACACCAGTTGAACACATTTGATAAAATTAGGTTCAAACAGAGAGGTAACATATAGTCAAACAATATTAAACACAATTTTCTCAGAGTTAATACACCCAAATATAAACTGGATTTATTGAACATACTGCATAACATGTACAGATCATTACTTTAATGAATAAGAAGTAAACGAAAAAAATAGAAGCAAAATTAGGGTACTGTTTAGTTATAAATGTAATAGTTGAATAATCCACTGTTTTATATTTTTAATTTGTGTAACTATGTAACCAAGACAACATAACATAGGTATTTTTTAAAAATTTAGATATACATATTTATTTTACATGCAGATGTTTAAATATGAAACAATGAAATACAATGTGTACAAAAATTAAATTCATAAAAATATAACTATAGCCATCTTTATGCTATAATGTAACTATAAACAATTCCATTTATTTAGTTGTTATTTACAGTAATGAAATAAATAATAAATTAACTTAGTATTGTTTGTTTGAATTTTCCTATTGATGTTTAGGATTGCAATTGATCAGTCTCTTATTGGCATATGTGCATACTATGCGTATTGCCTCGATATTGCTTTAATTCACAAGCGTTGTAAGCAAAGATGGATAGTGGCTAACAGTGGAATCCAGGACGCACGTTTCGCCCTATTTGGGACTCGTCAGCTAAATGTACCTGCATCTCAGAGTTAATGTTCACTTTGGGACTCAAACCCAGTACCTTTCGCTCCAAACGCCATCGCGTTATTCACTCAGCTACTGAGTCCTGATAACCACTTGCTTGTGCAATGTGAAGTTTAAATTCATTTAGTATTGTTTGTTTGAATCTTCCATTGATGTTTAGGACTGAGATGCAGGTACATCCAGCTGACGAGTCCCAAATAGGACGAAATGCGCGTCCTGAATTCCACTGCTAGCCACTATCCATCTTTGCTTGAAGAAATAATAGTTTCTATTATCTGATCATCCTATAAACCTTTTCTTAAATATTTTCAATTCTAATAAATCATATTACAAAAAACACTGTTGTTAAACATAGTTTAGTTTACAACATTATCAGTTAAGTTAGTTTCCTTATAAGTTATATTGCGTTTGATGGAGTGATTCTCTATTAGGTGACTCGCTCATATTTCTGAGTCATCTTTTTTCCAACTGTATATATTTTTATTCTTGACTTCTTTTCTTTACCTACATCATTACGCATGTTAACTGTATTTATGATGTACGCATGAGATTTCCCAAAAAAGCTTACGATCTATCACGGAAATGATCTTTTTATCTGATTGGTTCATTCATTATATTATGTGATGAGAAAAAACGTTTATGGACTTGATAGAAATGGTTTTAAACTTCACTAGTGAATCTGCAAATAATGAATGTTGAGATCTTTTTTTAGGTAATATGCTTCCAAATATTTACAGTTAAAATGTATGGTGAAGAGGGATCTATTATAATAATGTGTATTTTGTATTGAGAATATCCAAATGGTTATTAGTACATTTATTGTTATTAGATGCTTCAATTGAAATCATAACAGTAACAATAGGAACGACTGACTGAAGTAGATTTTGTCTTGTTGACATCATTTGACGACGATAAAAAAATGTGATTGCGCAATTAACTTATATATATACATCTATGCTTTGTTATCAGAATGGAGGTTTGTGCAGATTGTAGTAACTTAATAGTTGAATTCGCTTTGTTTATATAGCGTTAATGATAAGGAGATAAAATAGATCGAATTCTAATGTAGCTAAGAGGTAGATATTTCAGTAGGCAAACGATAATGGATGGATGCAGAGCGGAGAGACATTAACACATGAATCAGCTAAAAACGTTTATCTTAACTGATATAGTTCACATAGACAATATATAATACGATATAGAACATAGTTAAACGTTCATTTATGAGAAATGTACGTGGATAAAATTTCATATTTAGTGATATATGAATGCATAAATTATAACTATCAACGTTACAATTGCACAATCGAAGGCCAGATAAGTTCACAAAAAGGTTTATATCAATCTGCCTTCTTAATTTACGATACAGTTGTAAATTTGATTAATTGATCATTATGTTTTAAATGTGCGGAGTCGCTACATGGCTACATTTAATCTTCAAATTCATTTATAAGACTATGAAAATCAGTTATCAATTTCCTATTTATTTACTGCGTGTAAATTACATATAGGTTCCAGTAACCATGATCAAAAGAAGTAAAGGATCACATTCGACTTTCTGTATTATTATTATTATTTAATCACACATGTATTGGTACAAAGGGCACCGGATACATATGCGCCACACAAAATAATGAGAATGGGAGGAGAAGGAAGAAGATGCGTATATATAAAGGAAGGAAAAAAAAAGAAAAGGAGAAAAGTAATGATGGGGGGAAATGAATGTACAACCAGAAGAGCTCTCTCAGTTAAAAAAGTTATAGTCACTCCTTATGAAGAAAGTAGGTTACAGCAGGATTGCCACTGGCCAGGTTTCACAAGCATATGGCAAAACTGCTCTCACCGACACGTTGTAGATCCGACCTTTTACAGCCAGACTAACATCACGAAGGCGCCAAAGATGGCCCAGATTGGCATAAGCCGCTCTGGCTTTCATTATACGTGCATCAATCTCATCACTCACGCCCCCACCAGCACTTATGTAGCTACCTAGATACATGAACATCTGGACTACTTCAATCTGCTCACCACTCAGGGTGAGTACAGGATTAGAATCATGTCAGTCTTGTAGAAGTACTTTACACTTTGAAAGTGCAAAGCACATATTTATTTATTTATTTAAACACATATATATTGGTACAAAAGGGCACCAGATACATATGCCCCACACAAAATAATGAAAATAGGAAGAAAAGGGATGAAAAGATAAGGCGGACTGAAATGTACAACCAGAAGAGCTCTCTCAGTTAAGAAAGTTAGAACCATTCTTTATGTAGAAAGTAAAAGAAGGTTGCAGCAGGATCGCCACTGGCTTCTATTCTGAGCCATATCCGATAACGTCTCTAGCCACTGTGTTGCACCATCTCTCGGACCCCAGCCAGGGAGTCGTGAAGGACCAACAGAAGCTAGCCCTTTGCAGCTCTCTTTCATGCCACGACACCATGTCATACACTGACCTCCTCTCCGCTTTTTCCAACCAGTCCCAGGGTCGGCAAATAATGCACGACGTGGAAGTCTCTGGGACGACATTCGTAAAACATGTCCAAGCCACCGAAGTCGGTGTTTCAAGATGGTGACACCAATTGAATTATCGTCTCTGCGCCCGAACACACGATGCCGAACCTCTGCATTACTAACAAGGTGTTGCCATTGAATGTCAGCAATCCTTCGGAGACAACGATGATCAAACACAGAGAGTCGTCTAACATCCTCAACTAGGAGGCCAGGTTTCACAAGCAAAGAGTAAAACTGCTCTCACTGACGCGTTGTAGATCCGACCTTTTACAGCCAGACAAACATCACGAAGGCGCCAAAGATGGCCCAGATTGGCATAAGCCGCTCTGGCTTTCATTATACGTACATCAATCTCATTACTCACGCCACCACCAGCACTTATGTAGCTACCTAGATAAACGAACTTCTCAAGTCAATCGTCCTCGGGTTTTAAACAACCTACGAAGAATATCAGAAGCCAATAGTTTGGACGCAATCGGAAGTAGATTTATCCCCCGATAGTTATCACAGGAACAACATGAACCCTTTCTAAAGATAGGGACGGCTATTGACTCATTCCATGATGTTGGAACACTTTCTTGCTCCCAAACCTTTGCAAACAACACCGTCAGTTCCTTAGCCAGAAAGTCACCACCATCTTTAAAAAGAGCCGGAGGTAAGTCATCTGGGCCAGGTGATTTATAACGTTTCAAGAGTTGGAGTTCCTTGAGGACTTCCGCCTCGTTTGGTGGATCAGTCGTCACCGGCCATGGGGGGCAGGACAAACTGGTTGATGTTGCCGGAGCAGCAGGCCAGTTGAACTGCCCTTCGAAAAATTCCGCCCATCGTCCAAGACGTCGACAGATGTTAGTGATTGGCATCCCGTCATCCTCGTAGATTGTTTCACTCACACCAGACTTCTTGCTGCCAGTGGCTCGGATGAGTTGGAAGAGCTTCCGGCAGTTACCAGATGCAGCTGCTGCTTCCATCTCATTAGCACGCTCCGACCACCAGGCTTCCCGGTCCTTACACAAGCTTTGCCCGATTTCATTACGTAACAGCCTTCGTTTGTGGTCAAACTCACGGCCAGAAGAAACCCAGTGCTTGTAAGCAGGACGTTTCTAGAAGCCGCAAGCAGCTTTACTCGCCATTTTCATGGCGTCGTGAAGAAGCAACCAATGCTCATCTATACTTTTCAGTGGGATGGTAGCTAGCCTAGAAGCTAGCTCCGCTCGATACTTACTTGCAACAGAGGTTGCAGCCGGTTTACTAACATCGATCCGTTGATGGCGGTCAATCCTTCGGCCACTGAAAAGTAAGGTGAGATTGGCGCAGACCAGGGCATGATCAGACTCCAGATAGGTACTCCAAAAGGAGCGGCAGTCTTGTACACAACCACGCCAGCGGTAGCTGATCGCGATGTGATCAATCTGAGTCCAGGCTTGGGATGCAGAGGGAGGACGCCAGGTGGCACACCGGCGATGACTGTGCCGGAAGTTAGTGCTAGTCAGAAACAGGTTGTGGTCTGTGCACAGTTGCAGCAAACGGTCCCCGTTATCTGTCCTGCGACCAACAAGTCCCCATCGGCCACCTAAACGACTCTCTTCTGTGCCTAGACGCCCGACCTGTGCATTCAAGTCTCCGGCTAGTACTACAATATCTGTCGAACGCGCTTTCTGGAGAAGAACTGTTAACTGATGGTAAAACTCATTCTTGATTGCATCCGGGCTGCAATCTGTCGGGGCATAGGCGGAGATGACGAAAAGACACCGTTTCTCACGCCGATTTCTTCTCACTTTGATGGAACCTTCTAATCTAACAGCACATAACCGACTATTTATGGGGATCCAATCGATTAGTGCTGCCTCAGCCCTAGCGCTTAGTGCGACATCAACGCCAGCAAGACCAGACGAAGATGCCACAGAGTCCACGGATAAGCGCACGTGAAATAAGCTTTTCGAGGCGACAGATGGAGAGCAGATTTGTAGTACTTCACTAGAGTCTTGAATACGGGTCTCGGATAGACAACAAACATCAACATTAAGACCTTCCAAAGACATAACCAGCCCTATCTGTTGTCTGATCTGCATTAGTGTGCGAACGTTGAAGGAAGCCAGCTTGAACGGCATACGTGGTTTCAGAAAAACTGCTTCAGTATTCATAATCGGTGGAAGCATTCACTTTCAACCAGACAGTGACTGGAGATCGTTTAGATAGGACAGATTTTCCACCAAGAGCGAGCTGCTGTATAAGTTGAAAAGTAAGGTTACACAAATTGGGGATAAAAGGGGGTGAATTAGCGATATGGTAAATAATAATAATAACAATAATAATAATAGTAATAATGCAAATTGTTTTGTTTATAGTGTGAACGAGAATATAATTGTCAGTTGAATGTTCAATTTCATTTATTTGCGAGAGGGCTGTGATACTACCCAGGAGCCCGAACCGAAGCAGGTGGTTTTATTAGGAGGCCACACTCGGAGCCTTTGACCTAAAGGTCTAGTCCACAAGGCAGTGGAGCATCGTAAGGAGATGCAGTCCCATGGTAGCCGGTGACCAATAGTTGGTTCATACGCCATTCGTTCCTTCAGGATACTGGAGCCCATGTGCACCATTGGTTTGGAATCAGGGTTTTCTAACTCCCCTAGGTGGATCCTCCACATCCACTAACCCGGTTAAAGCGCCAGACATTCGCTTTTCGTTCTCTCACTTTTGTGAACAACACCCCCGCCACGGGAAGGCAGCGAGTAGGACTTCCATGGCAGGGGCTATATACGCGTGGCCATGTGAGAGCATTTCGAGAGGGAGAGCGGACTTTTCCCACTCTCGGCCGTACCAGGGCATTTGGGGTAAATAGAGACCCAGAGTATTCCTCGAAAATAATCCAGAGGCCCTGAAAACGCTGGAAAACATTTCATCCAATCAGCATTGAACAGAAGTTTGTCAGAGATAAATAACAAGTGAAGAGTCACATGTTATATTTCTGATTGGATGATTGCCTATCCTGCTACTAAGTTTAGTAGGGTTCTAGAACCTTCCAGAAGCCCAAAGCCATCTAAAATGTTATAAATATTCTTGGATTTCTGCACATAAACTAACCTTGGAGTAAAGAGCTCTCATTTCGCAACCTTTCTCTCGTGTTTAAGTTATTGTGTAGATTTACCATGGGGTAATTAAAAGAGCTTAGGTAACCGATTCAAGCGTCCAGTCAGATTTATCAGTAAAATACTCAATGTTTGATTTATTAAAAGTGAAACTCATATTTTAAGTGAGTTTATCGCAGACCATTCAAACAACATGGCATTTCCTTAAAAAGATCTTTAAGAAAATCCCAAACAAAGTTCGACTAGGTCGGTAAAACGATTGAAAAAGAGAGCATTTGTACACAGGCAAACAGTATTGATCAGAATCTTCAAACCAATAGAATGAACTCAAAGACATCTGCACACCTTTTACACTAGAAAAGGAAGTTGACTAATTTACGATAACATTTCTAAACGTTATTGTAATTTGATGTTAATAATTACAAACCATATGTTTACCCTACACTTCTGCTAACCTAATGGACATTTATTTCTGAGCGGAGTTATTTTTTCTTGCCAAGTTGTGATTCAGTCAGTAATAGAATTTGGTTTTTAATCAATAGCTTATGGGTCCAAACCTTCACATCCTTGATATTTGTTTCAACTGTTGTCATTTGGCAAAATGTGAAGTCTAAAGGCGAGTACACCAAACGTATAATTGGTTAGTGAGTCATGTAAATTCAGGGTGAGAAAAGCTATTGACATTTAAAACAAATTTTGGGGATTCTTGAATATACTTATACTGAAGACTTATAGCATAAAATTACTGAATAACAAACAATTGTAAGCACTAGTGTTTAAAAGATTGCGATATATTAGGTGAAAACAGGCCATTTCCATCTGTATTAATTAAAAGAAACTACTGTCTCAATAAATACTTGTCATCTATATTTGGTTTTCGACTGCTAATCAGATAACTGGGTCGAATATATCACGTGATCAAGTATGTTGAACTACTAATCTAGTACCCAGGTCAGTCTAGTCTTTAGCCCTACTGATCTGATTATCTAGTTAATATTCAGTATTCAGAGTAGGACCAACTCAAATCTCATACTTCATTTATAACAGACTGAGTGAACTTCACACATATATGGCAATGATTTATCCAACTTACATTGTAGAAGAATCCGATGATACAGACGTTAAACGCTTTAATCGTTTGCCCCGTTTCATTGTAGACATTGGTTGATCATCAATCCGATTATCATCCCATGATGATGTTTTTTTATAACTTGTAGGTAATTCATATAAACCGTTTAGACCAGTTGGCCAATTGTCTTTGTGATTATTATAATTATCATTATTATTTGTATCAGCAGTAATTATAGTCTTAGTGGTAGTAGTTTGTTGATTATTGCCCATGACGATTAAATTTTTCGGACCTTCCAACATATACATTTCAGATGCTCTACGTAAACCACGTATTCGTAATGTAGCCTCTGCTAAACACATTAAAGCATAAACTGGAGTTGATTTTGAACGTCCAATATATAATGAAGGTCTGTAAAATCATAAAATAATTCAAATATCTCATTGTATACAAAATTATAATTGAATTTAAAAGTAAGCAATTATTTGTATATAATATTCACAGCTGACAGACTAAAGATTTACCAGTTATGGTAGCACATTTGACTTCAATGAAATACAGATTCTGATTAACGAACGTACGAATACAGAAAAGAATTAGCATATCAAAAGACTCAAAGTATAGGTTAATAAGTGTATTTATACGTAGTTCAAATAGAGAATGGGTAGAATATATATCGACAAGCGTACATATAGGACGTATATGAGTGAAGTACATAATTAATTATATGAGTAAGTATAAAATAACAAATAGTATTGTAATTACGCAAATGTTTGTCTTTATATTTTACACTGTTCAAATAATTAGGTTAGTATTCTAGGTAAATAATTTGAGTGACTATCAAATCGGTCCTAAAAATATGTCTTAACGACTGCTTTGATCCATTGAACATCTCAATACAGTGAAAATAATTTCCAATCACTTAGACCAGTGGTCACATCACAACTTGATCGACAGAATTCGATCAATACTAAAGGGATAGATAAACATAATAATCATTACTACTCTTTAATCAATCAATCAATCGTATATGGTGCAATACAGTGTAAGCAAACAAGCTCACAGAAAATTTAAAAGTATGAAATCTGTTTTCCATTTTATCCCAATAATTCATAAATAAGATTCCGTATTCATTATAATATTCAAATCATTTTAACATAGCAAAACTAGTTAATAATGAATTAATGCATTAAAATAATATTCTTATGTGTAAAAATGAAGTCCTTAAGTGAGTTGATAAACCCTGCTAGTATATCGCTGTTCCTCATATTATCGTAAGATTATATACATAGTCGGTAGGATCTAGCACAGATGAACATTTGTTGAGATTGTTAAAAACTAGGTCAGTAATGAGAGAGAAGATTCATTGACGTAATTACCGAAACATCACGGACATAGTTTAGGAGAAAAGAATGAAAAGTAATTATTAATATTGAAACCTTAGTAATAAAGATTTAAGAACGAGTATAAGTAAACCACTTTTTATAACACTTCTAACCGTAGACCATGGTTACCAAATGCAAACCAGACAGGAAGTCAACGTTCGCTCACACAGTTAAGACCAACTGTCGATGACTTTATAGACTGGTTCTATGTTCTAACTTGACTGTTCCTAACGTTTCCTAACCTACTAATATACTAACTAGAATTGGGCTTCAAAGTAGGCAGTGGTTTAATAAGTACAACACATGTCCCAACTACCTCGGTCAGTTACGCTTCAAAACCTTATACACTAATTTACTGTATCTACCTAGAATTCCATCAGGAACCATATAGCTCAGACAGTGGTTTTACCAAACGCGAGTAATGATTTGAGGAAACCCACTGTCAAGTATAAACATTGGGCACATGTTTTTGATATACGACAGTCAAGTTCTCCAACCATAAATTAATACAGAGTTAGGCAGTATACCTATCGTCCAGTTGATGGACATTACACCATTATATATATATATATATATATCATTACAAAAACAATAATAATTAGGATGCTTCATATAAATATAAAAAATTAATAAGATTAGGACTTACGCTAAATCTAATGTTCCATTAAATTTCGCTTCCAATTCATCATAAATTTGATCATCTGTAGGGTTCGTTATATTATGTAAATCCAATGCATAAGTTGTAAATGCAATACGTCTAAGGATTCGTGGTAATTTAGTTATCGCTTTTATGGATTCTTTGCTATTGCTATTAATATTACTATTGGTGTTTTCGTTTGTCGCATGAACACTAGATGATGAATCAGACGGTGACCATAATGCATACATGCCAATTGCAGGAGATGATAAAGGTAGACTCCAAATTACTGGGGAAGAAAAGATACATAAATTCGAAAGCACCAAAATATAAAATCATGAAGTCTAAATGGATAAATAGGTTTACTAACGTATGTACTGTCCGACAAACACGTTACTGACCCATCTGATGAATTCCTAATATGACAAAGTGAGAACCTTGTATTATGAATGTGATCTGAATTCTAAGAATAATTATGAGCAGCTTGGTGAGGAATAAATTTTAAGAAACAATGACAACTCTGACTGATTATAACTTGTGGAGCTCAACTAAATCGACAGTGAGACAGTTACTTAAAGTTGGCAGTGGACAAATGTCCCGTTATGATGCGAATTAAATTAAACATGACAATATGGACCATTCGTCCATGAGATAGAAATTTTTGTACATTAGATTTCAATTCATGCTGTATTGTAGTCAAAACAACTAAACTGCAAAACCTATCTAGATCCACCTACTGGCTATTAATCGCATTCAGGCTAATGCTATAACTTAAGTGTCAACTGAGTGGGTTCAACTCCATGGTTCAATAATTAAAATTGGAGTGTCTGGAAACGGAGCCTTACAAATAACACGTAACAGGTAACATGAAGAATTTTTGAATTAATATCGACTAATACAGTGAAGCCATATGAAATATGTTTAAGCATTGTGTGAAATGTCAGGTGTAGCAGAGGGTGCAGCGAAGCACTTGTCATTCAGATTTCCGAAATATATGATTACTAATTGGAGTTAACTGGAACTATTTACAGTAGCTCATAGTATATTTACTCTAAAATGTGAAAGTTTAGGAAAAAATATATACTTTGTCAACTTACACTTAGACCCTTCAAAGGTCACTAAAGCCGGCTGAGTAATAGCAACGTGCTGTAAATCTGTTAGATAACAGTAGAAATTAAAAGTGATGTAAATTTTCAAAAGCACAGAAATCACTAAAATTAATAGCAAGTGAACAAATGCTTATATTAAATCTTCATCAAGATTCACTCTAATATATAATAATTCTCAGGTGCACATAGGAAAAATATGAAACCAATCAATGTACTTTGTGAGTCAGTGAAAACAATATGGAAGGATTATATGACCAAGGTGGAAAGCTTCATAACGAAGTTAATAATTTCACTATAATAAAAGATTGTTTTTTTTCTAGTCTTTGTTATGACCGACTGAATCTTCCTAAACTTAAACGAAGTATGTGCTAAAAGCTTGTCGGTTTTCCGATGTTGGTTACTGTTTAACCAATCCAAATTTATCACGATTTCACTTATTTGCTAAAAATAGCAATTTGAATAATATAACAACTACAAAATAATTACAAACGATATTTCACGAACCATAATTTTGTAAATCTGCTTCTGTATGAGATGCAAACGTATTGTAAGTGATATTTAGCCTAATAAAAAGAACAGAGGAAAAAGAATAAGAACTAAGTAGATGATCATAGGAACTGAATGTTAAAACACTCAACAACATAAAGTAACTCTTAGAATCAAGCAAGTATGAAGCTATTACTGATATTAACAAGATTATAAAATATTTTCATGAGTACAGAAAACCAATGAGAACTTACAGCAACAAGTAGTCGTATCTCCTTCTTAAACCGTAAAACTCGATTTTAATATGTATCCCATACATCATTATAAGTGGTTAGACGAAATCATACTAACTCGCTGTCTTGACTCTCTCATACGGATTATAACATACCGCTTGAATTTATTTACTTCAGCACAAAATTCTCATTTATTGAATTGAGGTTTTGTTTAACTTCTCAAGGTGTCAATGACAAAAAAGGTATTATTAGTATATACACAAGAGGTGTAGTGTCTATAATTGATCGATCACTGGGTAGTGACCAACGTTGTGTTTGTCAAGTACTCTTAGTGCTAATCGATTAAGTTGCAATGTGGACACTAGTGTGAGTGACTTGACATAATGTGCACTATATTTAGATGGTAGGCGGCGGAATTCAAACAGCATCAAAAGGACTAGACAAACATGAAGCTGATTATTACTCAGTGATCAATCAGTTGTAAGTGGCTCAGTCCTACGGAAGGACAGTTTCATGTCCTGAACAGCTCAGAGGTAATATCTTGGACTGTGAACCCGAGTGATGCGAGTTCGAGTCAACCCCGGGGCACAAGTTCCTTAGAGATTACGGGTAGATCTTGTTGGGAACTGCTAAATAATCCAAAACCTAGTTCCAAGATTTCCCATCAACTATATAAAAATACCGAGCAAATGTAAAAATCATATGAACAGCTTTATGCGGCTTTCAAGTTATGTATCTTTTATGCTACTTTAAATTAATCTAAATATACTGTTGACCACATAAATTATTACCAAACAGTTAAAACAATAAGTGAATGTTTAAATTATCTACATTCAGTTGGAAATTTTATTTTATTTTATTTAAACACATAAATATTGGTACAAGGAAGCACCAGATAAATATGCACCTCACAAATCTCATTTGATTTGTGTGAGGGATGTGATACTGCCCAGGTGCCCAAACTGAAGCAGGTGGTTTTAATAGGAGGCCACACTCGGAGCCTTTGACCTAAAGGTCTAGTCCACAAGGCAGTGGAGCATCGTAAGGAGATGCAGTCCCATGGTAGCCGGTGACCAACAGTTGGTTCATACGCCATTCGTTCCTTCAGGATACTGGAGCCCATGTGCACCGTTGGTTTGGAATCAGGGTTTTCCAACTCCCCTAGGTAGATCATCCACATCCACTAACCCGGTTAAAGCGCCAGACATTCGCTTTTCGTTCTCTCACTTTTGTGAACAACACCCCCGCCACGGGAAGGCAGTGAGTAGGACTTCCATGGCAGGGGCTATATACGCGTGGCCATGTGAGAGCATTTCGAGAGGGAGAGCGGACTTTTCCCACTCTCGGCCGTACCAGGGCATTTGGGGGCTCAGCTGGAGAACAACTTTTGGTTGTCATAGCTAATCTCACAATAAAAATGGACTCATGTTATGTAACTGCGAAACACTATTAAATATAAAATAATAGTAAATAACTGTAAGACGGACGAAAAAGTAATTGGGAACACGAAGTCAAAAATTGAATGTATTTACACACTACTGAAATCGATTTCTAGCAATATTAAGTTTTCCAATTTATTATTTTGAATGTTTTACGAATCTAAATAAATAAACGTCACTTTTCAAAGAACTCAAAATGAGTGGTTAAAGGCTGCATGAACTAATGATAACTATGAGGTTTTTTATACCTTGTTGGTTCTTAAACTACAAACCTAGACCAGTACTTAACAATACTTAATAAGGTAAGTAGATGCATAATTTAGACACCGATTATCAAGATACTTTAAATTCAAAATTACGTTCATCGCATACTACTATATGAGTTAAAAATGATAACTCACCTCACCAAACCAGTAAAACGATCACGAAGTACTAGGTTATATTGGGTTCTTCCAAGGTTGATTATATCAATCTCTTCTTCGGTAGAATTTTGCATATTGTTAACATTTTCATTATTTAATGAAGTTGGACACTTATCCACATAATTTTGAAATATTGACTCAAAAATCTTTCCTGAATTCATATCCACAGAAGTCCAAAAGTCCGATTTAGAACCTTATTAGTAAATATAATGACATAGGCAAACAATTTTAAATGCAAAAAAAATATTTCGAAAGATTATTTACTTTGTCAAGAAAAGACAACCAACTTACTTCTAGTTGACTGATTAATTTATTGTATTTATAGAATAGTTTCTGAGTTATCGTCTCTTTGTTCCAGTCACTCATTACTGGATTTATATATTCATGTCATAGACCCCACATCACATGAACCGTTTACTCTAATACTATCCAAACTCATCCTGACAATATCCCTTCACCAACAATAGTAAAAATTTAAAAATTAACATGACAGTACAAGCTAGTCGATGAGATTCAAAAAACGTTACGACAGCGTTGGAGGAGAAAGAACCAGTGCCGTCAGAATGAAAGGAACGATGCCTCATCAAGATGCCAAGGAAAGACCTCAGCAATCGTGAGAACTAGAGGCACCACACTACTATCAGTACCAGGAAAAGTTTTCAACAGAGGGTTGTTGAACTGAATGAAAGATTTAGTAGACGCCCAACTCCGAGATTAACAGGTTGAATTCTGTAAGTATTGATCGTGCACACACCAAGTCTCAACACTACGGATCGTTGTTGAAGAATCAATTGAATGGAACTCGTCACCATAAATCGACTTCCTTGATTATTAGAAAGCGTTTGAGTGTGGATAGAACCTTATTCGACACTGTGGTTGACCTAGAAACATTGGCAACATCATATGGGATTCAACGACGGACTAAATCACAAAGTGATGCATGGAGGATAGCTGACAGATACTTTCCAAGTGAGGACCAGTGAAGGATGGTGACTGGAGCATAAATCGAAAGCTAGCAGCTGTCAGACCAAGATCTAGTCCATGAAGTCGTTGACTGTTATTATGAGCCCTAATGGCTGGGGGAGACTATCTGGTTGGAGTTCATGCGATTGCTATGATCAGTGGTAACATGACCAAGATGCATTTACTGTCTACTTCGAGATGTGCAAAACTACTATATTACATAAATTTATCAATTTTCTGACCATACTCTTTATCTCTAATCTTTCTAACTTTAATCGACATCAAAATGGCTATTGTTTTTTAGTTCACCTCGACAGTTTCATCATGCTGTAATGTGCTGTAGCAACTTGAAGCTATGTGTTTAGGTCCTACGTTGTAACTTTTCTTATGACTGATAACGTCATCAACTACAATGAAGGAGAAAAAAAGTCGTTTGTTACTTCTCCAGGAAAATGTGACCAGTATAAACTCTCGAAACAATTAGGTGTTGATATCAATGAGAACCGAAATTGACTGATATTACATTTATCTGACAAGTACATTAAAATGCTAGACGGATTAGGAGCGTGACATTACTTCAGATACAAAACCTAAATAAAAAGTGATCTTTAAAACCACATCTAACAGAGGTAGTTAGGAGTCATATAATAAGAATCTGCAGAAATACAAGATCAGCTATGTGAATATAATCACAGAACGCAAGTATGATGTTGAGGATTCAAAACAGACATTTATACATTTTCCCAACACAAGTAGTAAGGGTGTCCATCAACAACGTAGAACAATTTGATCATGAATTAGTTAACTCATGGACTGATAAACGTGTGAAACACATTATTGGTCTTTCAGATCACATAGATAAATACAGACAAATAAAATGAGTTAAATGAATATGATTCCGAAGTACACACAACAGGAGAAGGCTAGTTTGATTTATTAAGAAACAGTGTGGACCCCCTGAAAGCAACACTTGTTATTCCCAAAAAGGCGTTTTTATTTGAAAGATTATCAAAAATGAGATCAGTGACTCAGGCAACTATATAAGAAATAAAACATTTGATGAAATAATGACTAGATGACACGCGGACTTCTTATTTCAGACAAGTCCTGAGGAAATTTGAAGTTTTGCCGGTTAGCAAATAAGTGAATAAAATCATTTACCAAGAGATAAGAAGTTTTTGTAGTATGCAGGAGAACGTCGAACGTGCCCCATGATGGAATGATCCAACTGTTGAAATAAGAATTCTGAGACGGAACTTGCATATTCATAGAGAGAACCGCTAACTGGATCTACGACCAGGAATGGTCTACAGAAGGCTCTAAAAAGGTATTTAACCTACCCATTGTCATAACTCGCACTAAGAGCAGAGGCTAAACCAAAGGAATGAAGATAATGAGAGAAAAAAACGTACCAGAATCAAACTTCCACCTTACATGTCCAGAACGTCTATGGACACATAGAATTTCGCCTCCCAAAGTATGGATTAGTATATAAGAATCATTGGTAATCTGAACACTATATATATATATATATGCCAGAATAGCTACCTTGCTTAGTTTCAGAGAATGCGAGTACTCATAATCGTGATTTTTGGATGTACATGAGATCGTTATGAAGTATATGAGTGTCAATATATAGACTCTTATGAAGAGTACGCTTATACGAAGTTCCATGTCTCGACATTCATCTGGGTTATCATACTTGACCTAGAGCTTTGAAAATACCGGTGGACTGTGTTTCTATCCAATATCCAACATATTCAGTACCTTCATTAGATCATGAATATACTAATTTAATTCCGTTTTCTAGATTTTCCTTGTTTCGGTTTGTTTCCGGCGGATGGTAGTCTAAACACTCAGCTGAACTAGTTCTAGTCCGTTTTGCAGTTATTCGTCTTACTTACAACTTACTTACGACTGTTACTCCCAATGAAGCATTGGCCGCCGACCAGCACTCTCCGACCCACTATGTCCTGGGAATTCCATCTCAGTTTTAGTAAGTTAGCTTGTATATCTCAATGAGTAGTTGAATGGGTTATTCTTAGCGGAGTCAAACTTCTGTAATCATGAGCTATCACACCGCCAGGCAGGGTGATTATTGGTCACAGTGTGAAGAGAAATGAAAAAAATTGGGTTGTAAACAGAATTTGATTGTCTCAAAAAGTAAATAAATTGACTACTGGTTCGGACAGTATGAATAAACTTATGTGTTGGAGTAGCATGTAGACCGAAATGGTTAAGGCAGAGATAATGATAAGTTAGTGATAAGTGAAAATGATTCAAATTGTCCTAATGGTTGTGGACAGAAAAGGGGAAGCTTTCGCTTAACGGACTTGCATATCTAATTGCAGCAGATCACCTATGTGTCCTGGTACTAACCTAAGTATATTTAATGATTACAACAAAAATATTTGTAAATTATAGCAAAATACTGTCCTATTCCCCTCAGAATATGTCAGGTTACCTCTTGAAAATTAGTCGCTCGGACCACTTGAGACAGCAGTAAATGTCAGAATTTAACTACTCGTACAGAGTAAAAGGTGGGATTACAGTTCGTTGTTGTGTCTAATTTCTGGGTGTTGATATTCAGATTTGTATTGAAACTGAGCTGAAATATGGATTTCAGGGGTTTTCCAGCAGTGTTTGAGATCCTGTAAGTTATTTAAGTGTCAGATCTGAAAAGGCTATACTCTAAAGGATAAAGATTCAGTAATTTGAGGAGCCCTTCACAAGATCTGAATTTGAGTCCCCAAATTGATTTAGTGCCTCACCGTTGAATTTGTTTTAGTGTGTTCTTATCCAGTTAAAGTGAAAGACGAAACACGATATTTCCTTATTATAAATGGGGTTGAGTAAAACTGTTAAAGTGGGAAGATCTACAGTCAAACTGACTGAAAATGTGCTTCAGCGTTACTGGTGCACCTATAGTCAGAAAGGCATTTTTGTCGGTTAGCGTAAGAATTTTGATCATAGGGTACCAAAGCTCCTGGATTTTTTTCGAGTTGCGATATTTCTAGAGGAAAGCTACCCAAGTTATATGTGTAGTCTAAAAAACGTTTAAGATGGACTACTTTGCACTTTGAAGTATTGATAGAAAGTTCGTTGTTATACTCACAACTATGAAGCCAGGTCTGGTCCAATTGAAGTGCCAGTTTATCATCTCGGTTGCAAACGTTACTGGGACGTCCTGTAGCCTGATAAAAAAATGAAGTTCATGCTGACCATTGAAATTGGATTATTTAGATATGAAATAATCCAATCAATTAATGATAACTTGATACATTGCTGTTTGAGCTTATTGATAAGACATAAAGGGTTGACATTATCAAAAGCTTTTGAGAAGTCAAAGTATTTGACGTCACTCTTCTAACAATTTATCAAAGTGTAGTTACCCTTCCTAGAACTATACTGTCTGGGCGAAAATAAGTTAATAGACAACATGTAGTCCTTCAGATCTCCACATACCAAGGATTATAATTTTCCGCGGTGCGAAGAAATGTGCTACCGTCCAGTGTCTGAAAGGTTCACTGAGTCAGCATTCACCAATTTTCAAGGATCATGCTTTGACTTAGCGAATATTAGGGCATTAATCCAAGAAGTTTCACCAAGAGTGAATCCGCTTTTGTCAGTACAACAGAATGGACCATATCCTGGGCAGAAAAATTGTCCTTGTTTAAGTGTTGCAGTTTCTGACACTGCATGTCTACTCTTAATTTTCCTTACAAGAGTTCTATTCAATTGTTTGCGAGGCATTCGTCGACGTCGTTTATAAATGACGGTTGAAATGTTTGAAAAACTGTTCTGCCAGGAGCTTAGAGGTATCACCGCCGTTGTTTGTTGGATCATAAAGATTTAGCAACTGGGAAAATCTGACATGTCAAAGAGAAGATCAATGACGGATTAAGATTTTTGGACTGGTAATAATTTTTTTTAATTGAATTGATTTGGTGATGATGCATATTTTCTCTTATAAGTTTTGCAAAGTTGTATTTTGCATGTTAAAACTGTCTACATGTGCTGTCGTCACAGGTTTGTCCATGTTTCTCCCAGTAATACCTTCCTAGTCTCAGCTTTCGAGGAATGCAGTTCATTATGTATGTGCATTGCTTATATATATATATGGACTGTATTTATCTTTTGTATTTCCTATTAATGTTTACTTCTGGTAATAATGTAGTTATTTTATTAGTCACTTAAATGTTTATCATATATTCTGTTCATCATATTTAAAGTATGGATGGCATAAAAGAAGACAAATATTTCTAATAATAGTATAGTATTATTTTGTTTAATGCATGTAGTGAGGCACTTCATTGTTAAAACCACTGGAAGCTACTATAATATGCGAAAGCTTTCCAATTTGATAAATTTCCATGCTTACATAAATTATTGATTAGATCAGATTTCAATTTTAGACTGTAGTAAAAAGAAAACTAAACAGAGTAAAAGAAATTACATAAGTCTAAAAGTTATTTTGATTTTCCTCCATATTTCTTTTCCAAATCTTCATCAAGGAATAATTCGAATGTCCCCTTCAAACGTAAATATAAGTTTTTCCTGTTATTGAGGAAATGAGACAATTCAGTTAATTGATCACACAGTAAATAATAAAAAAACATAATATTATTAAGGCATAATCAGTGTTCATACAAGGTCTGCAAAATCGATGATTCGGTATCAATTATTGTGCACTACTCATTAGTGAGTGGACAAATGCAATTACATTGAATAGCTTCTATAGATGACTTAAATTCACTATATTGCTATCTTGGCTTGCAAGTAGTGTCAAAACGAATTTTCAGTTCTGAAATGTTTCGATCAGTCTAGTTAACGACTGATATTATTAGACGGAAGTAGGTGATATACCTAAAGGTTAGTTATCCAATTTAATGTTTGATGCTGAGTACACACTATTGAGAAACCCCATAGTAATGGGACATAACTACTTAATGAGACTTCAAGTTAAATGATCCATCGCTTATTCCGGTTCATGAAAAAACTAAATCCATATTGTCCACTACTAAACAAACAAGATTTACTTATGAATTTTACACGTAGTTAAAGGTGAGATATACTTACCAAGAATCTGTAAACAGTTCCCTGAATATTTAAATGTTAAGTAATAAATCTTTTTATAATAGAAAAATAAAATATTGACTTCTGAAAATGGTCTCAAACTTGTATTTCTTTCTCTGTCATTCTGTTTATCTACGTAATGGTGAAATTTTCAATGTCAACGTCATAGAATAATGGTATTGAAAATTCCATAAGATTTCCAACCTTGGATGTGATTCAATTGTCTCGAAAGAACTAACTTATTTTTATTTACATATTTAAACACCAGAATTTCATTGTTCAAATTTACTTATCCAACATAATTTTGATTCCTTAAAGAAAATGAAGTTGTTCAGTTTCAAAGAAATTGAGAATGCTGGTGGACGGCCAATGCTCTTCCACGAGGGGTAACAGGCATAGGCAAGCAAGTTGAGACATTTACTACATCAGTGAAAGGTTCTAGTTACTGAAGATATATTAACGTTTACAAACAAAATATTGATGTAACAGTGACAAATCTAATATTTTTGAATTTCTTTCACTTAACCTGTTCAAAACTAACAAAAAAGTTCTTTGAAGAATGGTTCATATTAAACTTAATGTATCTATAAACTACTGAATATTGTGTATATAAAATTGTTTTTTCCAGTATAACAGTTTCCAGGGCCATTATGGCTCACCATTAAATTGACTTGTGTGACTGAATGACAATGAAAGCTATAAATCTAATTCTGAGCAACTGTAATAGGAAATTAGTGATTTTGAAAAGTCCATGAGAGTCTAAATGACCTATAGTAAAATTAATTTCGTAGTTAAACTTACCTAAAGTTGAAAATAACTAGAAAACGACATTTGTGTTCTGTGAGTTTTCCATTATCAAAGTAATGCTATCAAATAACATAGTTTGTATGCTCAATGGGAAATAGAAAAGTAAGATTTCTGAGTGGTTACTAAAACTGTATTGACTTAAATATAACGCATTAACCAAACATCCATCAGAAAAACACTTCCACATGCATTTCAGAACTATTTTCGAAAAACGAATCCAATAAGCATCACCTCAAATATCTAAATCATTTATTGAGCTACAGAACATGAGTATCGTTTGTTAGTGTGATGGAAATAGTGTTAACGAGGCGTAGCACTTTTTCCAGCCCAGTAACTAAACTAAATGAATATATTATGTTAAAGTGGTGATATTTTTATTTTTAAATAACTATACACGTTAATTACATTGAGTATCTTAATGATAAACGTTTATAGCATTGATTAAAACACATTTTATGGAAAGCGATATATAGTGCTCGTGTCGTCTGGTTGATGAAATATCTTACCCAGTACAAATTTGCGTGATTTCATGCCATGGGTAGTTTCTCAGGAGAAGAATAATGAGCATAAATGCAAGGAATAATATCCAACACATCAATGCAATAAGTTGTCATGGTATTGAGTATTACTAATGGCAAGAATAATAACATACTGTTTAAAATGGTGAATACTATCAAACTGGCGCAAACAAACTTAATGAAGATGGCCTGTAAAATAATAGAGCAAATACCTCGAGTTGATATTTGAAGCTTTTCTCTGCATTATATCATGTAGTGGATGAATAAACAAATGTGAACTATCAGTTTTCGACTGGAGGTTATTTAAAACTTTATTATATTCGTATTTTAAGTGATTTCAAAATAATCATGGTTTAACTTACCACCTTCTCCAGTCACTACTGTATATAAGAAATCAGAATTACTCAATACGTAATTGCTTGGTTATCAAGAATAAGTATCCAAATTGTTGTGAATAAACAAAAAGATCATATCAGTTGTCGATAATATTCATTTTAAAACGGCTATCGGGATACGTCAATGTCACCGAATGGTCTTTACACTCAATTGTAAGCAAAAAATACATCTTCACTACATATTTATATATCTAGACTGTAGTATTCATTTGTAGTTATTGCTCCGAAAGCAGTAATTTTATAAAAATTCCTGGGAATCCAAAAATGAAACATCCTGTTCAGCTGTGACTTTAAAGATTATGGCAATAATCCTTAAAACCCAAAGAAGACCATTGTCGGTGTAATTGATGTTGTAGTTAATGAGAACACAAATGGGGATAATCGGATGCATTTAAATACACAATTATAAAATATATTAGTAAAATCTGAGAACCATACAGTAAGTACTTCATTTGAAAAATATGAATAAATCGTATCAGATTTTATTGCTTCTTCGTTTCTACACCAATCATTCTCTGTTCTAGCTTTCTTTTCTTTGATCTTCTTAACCTTCTGTCACAAGCTATTTCACTTTCTATTGACAATACATACTATTTATATATATGTCGACATCAGTAGCATATACAACAATATCATTGGACATCTGATACATGATTTGATGTTGATAAGAGCGATTCGTCTCAGATGATTTTATGAACGACAGTCAAATATTCATTTGTTTTTTTTTGTAGTAACTAGCAAAGAAGACTTTATCATACGTTTTGTTTTAACAAGCGAAATCTGAAAAGACCGATTTCTAGAAAGTAAGCGAACTAAATAAATGAATATATTTTTGTTGGATCCCAAAGGGTAGAACAATTGTACTTCTGACATTTAGTGACTTAATGTGAACCACTTTTATTTACTTTGAGGAAGCGGCTCACATTTGTTATATCGTGTGTATGCAAGACCTGTTTATATATGACGTTATAAGACCTCCAGTTAGACAACTGCGAATTTGACGACCAGAGAGGAGTGAATTATCGATCATAACAGGGATACTCGAAACCCGAACAAGCAGACTTAAGCAATCAACAGTCCTTCTTTCTGCCTAGCCCAGCCAGTTAAGTCAAGAACACCAATAACAGCCTCTGAAATATGAATCATTATTCTCACACATACTGGGTTTATATACCAATCAAACTGACCTCATCGTACCAATAACATAAAAAAATAACATTTGTACAAGATTTGGCCAAATGAGGCTGTGAACAGGAGGAACAGTAATTCATGTAACAGTGATAACCCAAGAATGGTAAATCGTATAATATTAGTATATAGATCGAAATAATGCTTATATTTGCTTTGAACTATAATCTACTTTGAATATTCACAGAACGTTAGCTGATTTTTGTAGGTTTTCGAAGTTAAAACAACAGGAATGTATTTATATCAAGTTGAACAAAAAGAATTCGTTCAATGAAACATGTCTCAAGAACTTGGAATGGTAACACTGAGAGTCATTCACCAAAATCTGCCATGATTTTGGAGACTGTATTCTTTTGAGAAAAATGCCTGAAATCCCAAATTTCGGTAACTCTCGTTTTTATTGATAAAGGTTGTTTCATGAGTGTTTTGTAAGGCTCAATGAAAGATTTAAAATCACAAAGCGTTTTATTGTATTTGTGTTGTGATGGAATAGATCGTGCCTTGAAATTAATGTCATTGTGACTGCCGTGATATCTAAAAGTAGTGGTTTAAAAGCCACGACATAATTCGAGTTCATTTCTATTTAGTCAAGCTAATGTTGACAAATATTCAGTATGCTTCTCTCCAGAATTCATTTATTGAATCTGTTGTGAACCATAACATGATAACAATCATATATAACATAACTATTCACACAATCTACCAACGATATCTTAATCAACTTACCATTAATTCCTTCAAGAAATATAAGTGATAATGTTAGCACTACCGTAGATAGTAGAAAATCGGAATGCATTATTTCATCTAGATTGTTGTGAAAAGTGTAACAAAAGGATATTAATATATACTATTGACTAGACATAACAGGTATTTATGAACGGATTAAGATTTATATTTGTAACCCTACATGTCGACAAATCGATTATATGCAGAATTTGTATTCTTCAAAGTAATTTGATCTAAATAAACATTACCGTTTTGGTATGGATCAAGTTTCTATTTAAGTTAAAACTATACTTCTATAAAATGATGACTTACCCTAAGTGTATAACATGATTTTTAGAACTGAAATTGATCTCTTAGTGAAGTATACATAAGAGAACAATTAAATCTTTTTTTAAAATATACATTTACTGTGAAAATATTTTGTGTAGTTTATACATATTACTGATTTTTATTCAAAGTAGTAATAAATTGTAGTTTTTAAAACAATAATTCGATCGAAAATGAAGTGGACGGATTTGATCAATGATTTTCAATATATCAAAGCCCACAGCTGTCGTGGTTTATATTCCTTTGTAGCCTGAATCAATCCTTTAAGATATAATTGTGATAGAGATCGTACACTATGCTGGAATTGATTTGTAAACATTTGGTATGTTGAAAACTATGATTCATTGATACCATCATGTTTAATGTTTAGTGGTGACCGTAAAATGTTGATACAGATCTAGCCTTATGAAACAAATATAACATAATGTTAAAAAATAACTGTTTAACTCTATTTCATACTATCTAGTTTCTTTATGTGTATTTCATGATTGTTAAAATCAAACGGAAATATTTGAATATTCAACAATAATGACTGAGGAGTTACCAACTGGTATACATTTGATTACTTCTGTGAAGTGAGTATTCCACCATTTTTACCATTCAAAACACTCACAGAATTCGTAGTTTAGTCTCATTTATAGGCATTAACGATCAAACAATAACTGAGTTACAAGTCATTTTCAATATTTTCATTGTATGTATAGCTAACTGAAATAGATGTGCAGTTTTATTCAATAGTGTGTTAGACATAGAAGGAACAAATGTTTCATTACTCACCTCTCTAGAATAGAAGTGGACAAGTAAAATGTTAACACTGTCTTGTCATAATATACAACTTGATAGAAAACTGTGCAGAGTAGAAACGAATAAGTTTGACTTCATTTTGTGGTATTCATAAATCAATGTCACCCATAAACCAACCTAATCCCTTACTTCCACTTTTAAAAAACCAAAAGACATAACAGAAGAAGAAGAAGAAGAAGAAAATTCAGTATCTGAAGAGTAAATATTCACGACTGAGATGAGCCATATAGTGGATAAAGTGTACGTAATCTTTACTTACACATTTACAAACATAAATCATCACCAAGACATCACGGTTTACAGTCACTGATATCAACGTAAGTAGATAACAATAGACATAGATTCAACTGGGAAACATTTAAATTCTAGATTGAGATAACTCTAATTGTACCAGGGAATTTCCAGCATGATATTCACGTCAATCAGTAATCAATAGACACACAAGTTTACACCTGATATATGAAATCGTTAGAAAAAGACTAGCCAACCGTATGGTTGTGGATCAATGGAACAAGATAGTCAAAGTGAATACACAAACAAATTGAAACTACGAAACCTACGACGAAAGCCAATCATAGGCAAGGCTCACAGAACAAACTGATTTTTAGTCTAATCAAATAACTAAGTTCACTCGTATCTGAAGTGAGGGTTTATGTTTTTTACAATGCCGATGAAAACTCCGTTATCACGCCATCTAGCTCAGAGCACATAACAAATTCAAAGTATCTATCTCAGCGATTAATCTTTTACATCATTAATTATGATATTATTACAGATTCTTGCTTTCCAAGAATATGTATTCACTACTTTTAGACAATGCTGAAAAAATGATGTAGTGAATGATTTTAACTGATTATTTAATAAATTCATGCTACAGACTAGCGATTGCCGCCAGCTTTGTTAGGTGTAAACATTTCATCTTCATGCATTAAATTTTCTACAAGAAACTATCTGTAAGTTAACACATTTGTATTACTAGAAGTGAAGGTAGCATTACCGCCAAGTGAATCTGTGGGTTTTTTTACTAACTAATGATTCCTTTTTACTTGATTGCACTCTTAATATGAATTTCAAATATAATACGTTCAATGTGGGATTGTGGAGATTGTTAAGTTTTTGATTGAGATCATGAATCAATATACGTTAGACCATCATTAAAAACCTAGAAGCACTGGAAGGCCGTTTCATCCTAGTATGGGACTACTCAGCAGTGCGCATACACGACCGCACACGCGAGATTTGAATCCAGGAACTTTGGTGGTCTAGGAGTTAAGTGTTAGCGTGCAAACTAGGAATCCAACAAATGACGCAATTTAACCAAGAAGTATTAGATGAGTATGAATTCGAAATCAGGGAGTAATCAAGTACAAAGTAATCATTATTTCATACAAACACCACAGTTTATTCTCATAATTGTTCTCCCTTTGTGACAAAATAAATGTGGCCATAAGCTCACAAAAATGATGAATTATTCTGAACTGAGTAATTTTCATTATAACTAATCAATTATTTTCAAAGGAACCTCTACTGTTCAGCAAACACATCAGTTAGAGAAACATTGAGGACAAAGAAGATTGGTTTACGCCTGTGAATAATCAACTGTGCTTACGCACTTAACCAGTAAAGATGGAACTCATGACCTTAAGTTTCCAAGTCGAGCGTGGTACATTTAGACAAGTGAATAGAAGTCTATTGGTTTCACTGACTATTGTTATTCAATTTAATACAGAGCATATAATAACAAACGTCCAAGGAAAGCTATATTTTGGAAATCCCAAGCGAAACAGTTGGTTTCAATATGTATAACTGATCATTGTATGGGATTATCATTACTTATCTTTTTCCAATAACAGATTGAGGCGGTAAACTTCTGCGAATTTCGCTTTCATGCCATTCATGGCATTTTTCAAAGAAGATTGTAAATTTTGAGGAAATGTGTGAATAAACAACCGCTTTCACTCACTCTGCCATAAATTCTGATTTTTTTCAGAATATCTAATTCACACATCTGGAGTATATTAGCTACTGAAAGATTTAAACCTGTAACAAGCCCTTCCAACTACTGTATTATTTGTGCTTTCTTTGTAATTTAGACATTTAATCGACTTTGCAAATTTATGTGTGAGTGTGATTGAGCGCATGTGTCTGCACATCAATCTCTAATTTGTTCTCTCATTGGTTGTAATCAAAGACGATCAATAATTTATCCACAATCTATTACCACTCATAAATATATTTGGATTTTCAACACTCATTAACACACACACAAACTCACTGACTGGTTTTCCCTGTGTGTTTGTAATCTATAGACTTGCGGATTTTTACCAAACTTCAACAATAAACTATCTCTATAATTGCTGTTCAGGTGTTTGAATAATCTTGAGTGAACCCATAATTCTACCAGATTATTTATTTATTGCAGTCAGATATATAGGAATTGATGCTCTACGAAATTGATGAGCCGCATTTGGAACGCGTACCATCTCTCCACAAGTCTGCCGCATATTCTCCAATCATATCATAAAGAACTTCACATTTGAATTGCTGTTTCAATTATAAAAATTCGCATATTTGTACCGAAAGTGTCAGTTTTTTTATTCGGTGAGTCTCTCATTTTGCTACACACCTACTATTATTATTTTGAAAGATTTTGAATAATTAAATTCAAAAGAAAACTTGCTTTTTCACTCATATGAAAAGCAACAAAACTGTTTTATTGTTGCGTTATGCCATCCAACCATCCTTTTTTTCGTGTGGTAAAGTAGTCGGCTTCAGGAGTATTGAGAGTTAAAATTACTTGGAACACAGATTGAATCTGAAAAATCTACACTTTATATTAATCAAACGTCTTATCAAATAATGACGGTTAGGCGTTTTTCATGCCTTTCTTCCTCTGGTTCCTGTTCTTTGGATTTTAATTATAGAACATTTTCATAGATTTGGAGGTGTTTAAGAAATCAGAGTACAGTGTTGGATTCCAAGATGTACCATGTATAATTATTATCATTATCGTTTATGTGAATGTTTACTGTGAATAAATAGAATGCTTCAATAAACAAATTATGTAACAATATTATCAGATGAAATTCGAAATATGAATATTTGCTTTATAAAGGCTTGTTTTACGGACTCATTTTTTTCTTTTTGTTGGTACAGTTATGCCTAAATCAATGAAGAATATTTGTTCAAAGATTCGTTATTGAGATATGTATATATATATGGACTGTATTTATCTTTTGTATTTCCTATTAATGTTTACTTCTGGTAATAATGTAGTTATTTTATTAGTCACTTAAATGTTTATCATATATTCTGTTCATCATATTTAAAGTATGGATGGCATAAAAGAAGACAAATATTTCTAATAATAGTATAGTATTATTTTGTTTAATGCATGTAGTGAGGCACTTCATTGTTAAAACAACTGGAAGCTACTATAATATGCGAAAGCTTTCCAATTTGATAAATTTCCATGCTTACATAAATTATTGATTAGATCAGATTTCAATTTTGGACTGTAGTAAGAAGAAGACTTGACAGAGTAAAAGAAATTACATGAATCTAAAAGTTATTTTGGTCCTCCTCCATATTTTGTTTTCAAATCTTGAAGGAAGAAATCGAATGTTCCTTGTAAACGTGTACATAAGTTCACCCTGTTATTAAAGAAAGAAGACAATTCAGTTAATTGATCACACAGTAAATGATAAAATCCATAGTGTTATTAAGGCATCATCAATGTTCATATAAAGTCCGAAAAATCGATGATTCGGTATCAATTATTGTACTCTACTCATTAGCGACTGGACAAATGCAATTACATTGAATAGCTTATATAGATGGCCTAACTTCACAATAACCTAGGTCGGTTCTTAAGTAATGTCATGATGCGTTTTCTAAAAGGAAGCCTCAACTTATAGAGAAAACAATGTTTCGAGAGGGCTAGTTAGCCACTGATAATATTAGACGATTACATCCTTGAAAGTAGATCACTGGTTTTAAACTTCGTGAGTAATGGAACATAACAACATAATGAGACTTCAAGTTAAGTGATCCATCGCTTATTCCGGTTCATGAATAAACCAAAACCATATTTGATAATTTTGAATAAATTGAGCATCGGGTAGATTTTTATAAATAAATAATATATTTGCAATATCCCAATGAGTAAATGAATTAGATTTTCTGACGTTTCGTGACTCAGTGTGAGCCACTTCTTCAGAGGATAAATTTTTAACAAATCCATAATGTCCACTACTCAACAAACTTTGTTTACTTATGAATCTTACACGTAGTTAAAGGTGAGATACACTTACCAAATTTCCGAAAGAAACTTCCTGCATATTTAAATGTTAATTAAAAATCTTTTTATAATAGAAAAATAAAATATTGACTTCTGAAAATGGTCTCAGACTTGTATTTCTTTCTCTATCATTCTATTGATTTAAGTAGTGATGCAATTTTTAATGTCAACGTGATAGAATAATGTCATTGCTAATTCCATAAGATCTCCAACCTTAAAAGTGATTCAACTATCTCGAAAGAACTAACTTATTTTGATTTACATTCTTAAACACTACAATTTCATTGTTCAGTATTAATTATCTAACATAATTTCGATTCGTTAAAGAGAATAAATTTGTTCAGTTCTAAATAAATTTTTGTCGAGTACAAGATTGACATTTTAGATCAGTCGATGACAGGGTTGGATGGAGAATGCTGGTGGGCGTCCTATGCTCCTCCACGAGGGGTAACATGTGTAAGTAAGTAAGTTGAGACATTTACTACATCAGTGAAAGGCCCAAGTTACTGAGGGTATATACACATTTTTTTCAGTAAACGTTTTCAATGCCATAATGGCTCACCATCAAATTGACTTGTGTGACTGAATGACAGTGAAAATCATAAATCTAATTCTGATTTTGAAAAGTCCATGTTAGTCTAAATGACCCACATTAAAATTAATTTCGTAGTTAAACTTACTTAAAATCGAAAATAGCTGGGAATCGAAATTTGTATTCCGTTAGTTTTCTGTTATCAAAGTAATGTTATCAAATAACATATTTTATATGTTCAATGAGAAATAGAAAAGTAAGATTTCTGAGTGGTTGCTAAAACTGTACCGAGGTTTTGTACTTTTCTCAGCGCAGTAACTAAGCTAAATGAATACATTATGTTAAAGTGATGATACATTGTTATTATACGGTTTACCATTCTTGAGTTATCCCTAGACCATTAATTACTGTTCAGAAATTTCATGCAATTGGTTCCCTTTATGAACTTAAATAAAGCAAGAACAAACATTGATGCAGAATAGTATGAATTCATATTATTTCGAGGTTTCTCGTCAGCTGCTTACAAACCAAAATTGTGATAGAATTTTTACATGAAGATAGTGTGAAACAATTGACATAAATGAGTGTAAATAACGTGATTACAATAATAACTATATATATATGCTAGAAACAGGTCAGAGGTCAAAAGAGGGAGGTTAATCCAGGGTGGGTGGTGTAATAATTTAGTGAAGTTCATAAATTGTGTGATAATTGTAGAGATTAATGGAATTGACTAATGATAAGGTAGATTACGTAATAATAATTAAATAGGGTTTGGAAAGTTAAGATGATTTAAGAGGATCAGGTGGTGGAAATGTGTGAATAAAATTTATTTTAAGAATTAGGCAATAGGGGGGGGGGAGTAAAATTATCTTAGAATAAGTAAATGAATAAAATAACCAAAACAGAAACAAAAGGATTACCAGGGTAGTGATAAGTTTATTAAAGTCTCTTTTTGGATGCATAAGTCCGGTTTCAGTTTCTTAATTGCAATGGCTTCAGCAAAGCGGAGTGGTAGTGGTTCTTTGTCTATTGATAATTTTAAACGCGCACATAATATCGACGGTATGCCCGGTGTCAAGTAGATGCCGAGCTATTGCACTGTTAAAAGCTTTAGTCCCTCGCAGCGTCAAGTTCTTCGGAATATGCTCAGAAATGCGAACCTGTACTCTTCTCTCAGTTCTTCCAATGTATGTGCTACGGCACGTACATGTGAATTGGTAAATGCAGTTGGAGCAACAGAGGGGAGAGGACTTGTCGATTTTCGTTTGTTTCAGTGAACGGTATGTTTTCCATAACGTAGTCACTTTGGCTGCCGGGTAGGTCACTTTTAAAGCGGAATTAATTCTGTGATTGATAATTCCGGCGACTTCATCTCCTTTGAAACGTAAGGATGGGAAGCAGGTTTTCTTTTCAACTGTATCATGCTTAATCGGAGGGTTTGTATTAGCATATTTGTGGATGAATTTATCCGGATATGCATTTTCGCGTAGGCATTTGGTGATTGTAGTAATTTCTTCTTCGAGGCATTCTTTTGAGCAGATTTTTCGTGCGCGGTCAAAAAGGTTTCGCACAATACCCTTTTTATAGCTCATTGGACAGAAGCTGTTAAAGTTGCGATAAACTCCGCTCCAAGTATTTTTGCGGTTCGTTATACGTATAACGAACTTAAACCAAAAGGGTCACAATTGCATACATACAATTTAAATTTAACAATGTTCTGTACCGACAGATTGATGGAATAGCAATGGGCAGCCCTCTAGGCCCAATTCTTGCCGACATTTTTATGGGACATCTGGAACAAAAAAAACTGAAGCACGCAATCGACAGTACCACACTCTACTGCAGATATATGGATGACACGTTCCTTGTCTGCAAAAATCACCAACACTCCATGTACCTACTAAGTCTGTTCAATAAAGTACACAAAGATATAGAATTTACCATGGAACATGAAGTTGATGATAAATTCCATTTCATAGATATTGGAATTAGGCGAACATCGGACGGCACACTACAAAGACACATTCACCGCAAAAATACTTGGAGCAGAGTTTATCGCAACTTTAACAGCTTCTGTCCAATGAGCTATAAAAAGGGTATTGTGCGAAACCTTTTTGACCGCGCACGAAAAATCTGCTCAAAAGAATGCCTCGAAGAAGAAATTACTACAATCACCAAATGCCTACGCGAAAATGCATATCCGGATAAATTCATCCACAAATATGCTAATACAAACCCTCCGATTAAGCATGATACAGTTGAAAAGAAAACCTGCTTCCCATCCTTACGTTTCAAAGGAGATGAAGTCGCCGGAATTATCAATCACAGAATTAATTCCGCTTTAAAAGTGACCTACCCGGCAGCCAAAGTGACTACGTTATGGAAAACATACCGTTCACTGAAACAAACGAAAATCGACAAGTCCTCTCCCCTCTGTTGCTCCAACTGCATTTACCAATTCACATGTACGTGCCGTAGCACATACATTGGAAGAACTGAGAGAAGAGTACAGGTTCGCATTTCTGAGCATATTCCGAAGAACTTGACGCTGCGAGGGACTAAAGCTTTTAACAGTGCAATAGCTCGGCATCTACTTGACACCGGGCATACCGTCGATATTATGTGCGCGTTTAAAATTATCAATAGACAAAGAACCACTACCACTCCGCTTTGCTGAAGCCATTGCAATTAAGAAACTGAAACCGGACTTATGCATCCAAAAAGAGACTTTAATAAACTTATCACTACCCTGGTAATCCTTTTGTTTCTGTTTTGGTTATTTTATTCATTTACTTATTCTAAGATAATTTTACTCCCCCCCCCCTATTGCCTAATTCTTAAAATAAATTTTATTCACACATTTCCACCACCTGATCCTCTTAAATCATCTTAACTTTCCAAACCCTATTTAATTATTATTACGTAATCTACCTTATCATTAGTCAATTCCATTAATCTCTACAATTATCACACAATTTATGAACTTCACTAAATTATTACACCACCCACCCTGGATTAACCTCCCTCTTTTGACCTCTGACCTGTTTCTAGCATATATATATAGTTATTATTGTAATCACGTTATTTACACTCATTTATGTCAATTGTTTCACACTATCTTCATGTAAAAATTCTATCACAATTTTGGTTTGTAAGCAGCTGACGAGAAACCTCGAAATAATATGAATTCATACTATTCTGCATCAATGTTTGTTCTTGCTTTATTTAAATTACTGTTTACCCTATTCACAACCACATTTAGCCAAATCTTGTACAAATGTTATTTTCTGCTTCATGGTACGATGTGGTCAGTTTGTTTGTTATATAAACCCAGTATGTGTGAGAATAATGATTCATATTTCAGAGTCTGCTATTGGTGTTCTTGACTTAACTGGCTGTGCTAGGCAGAAAGCAGGACTGATTAGCACTCAAGACTGCTCATACAGCTTTTGTGTATCATAGAGCGATCAATAAATTCACTGCTCTCCAATCGGCATTCTTATCACGTCATATATAAACAGGGCACGCATGTATTCGATGTAACAATTTAATTGCGAGTTATTCAAAACTTTATCATATTCGTATTTTAAGTGATTTCAAAATAATCATGGTTTGACTTACCATCTTCTCCATTCACTACTGTATATAAGAAATCAGAATTACTCAAAACGTAATTGCTTGGTTATCAAGAATAAATATTGAAATTGTTGTGAATGAGCAGAAAGACCACATGAGTTGCCGAAAATATTCATTTAAAATGGAAATCGGGATATGTCAATGTCACCGAATGGCCTTTACACTCAAATGCAAGCAATAAATGCATTTTTTGTAGTAACTAGCAAAGAAGACTATATCATACATAATGTTTCAAAAAGCGAAACTTGAAATGACTGATTTCTAGGAAGTAAGCGTACTATAATTATGAATACATTTTTGTTATATCCCAATGGGTAGGACAATTGTATTTCTGACATTTAGTGACTTAATGTGAGTCACTTTTATTTACTCTGAAGAAGCGGCTTACATTAGGTCTCGAAATGTCAGAAATATAATTTTTCTTTTACTCGTTGGGATATAATAAAAACGACGCTTATTAATAACTTTGTACTGAATGCTCGTTTCATTTGAAACTATCAAGTCCGACCTTGACTATGATATTACCCATAAACTCATTAAGCAAACTATAATTGCTATCCGTTTATATTTTATTTGTTCTTAATAGAAATTAAATGAAACATCCCCTAAATTATTTCTGTAGTGAAAGATTATTGAATTCGAATTGAATGGTAAAATTTATATTCACTATTAAAATAATTTCTTCTGCTCATAAATTCATTTAGTTATGAAATCACGTTACAAGCTCTATTGAATAACTGAGACATAAGCGATGTGTGGTAGTGAAGGTAATATATATGATTAGTAGTCGGACGTAGACAAACTCTGAGTTCATTGTGTGTGACTCTTTGCAATTGTGTTGAATATTCTCTAATGTTAAATTGGTTCTCTATTTTTGGGTCGCGAATCCTTGTTCTGATACAACGTAATTAATCTTATTAAAGTATTATCGTAATATACAAGTAACACAAGAAAATATTGTAACCCATCTGTTATATCCATAATACTGCATTCGGATATTTGCTTATTGTAACGGTTTTAAACTATCGTTGATCTCATCAGTATGTTAATTTTTCACTATTTATAAGGATTATTGTTTCAAGGCTTAATTGAATGTTAGATTTAGGAACATTTCATAATAACTTACTAAAAGGAAATACTTTTAGTTGAAATGAACTATTTTTAACAGAATAACTAAGCAGTCTTATTATGAAATAAATGATTTTAACGAATTATTTCTGTATATTAATTATAATTGCGTTTTCGTCATTTTGAAAAGATTGGTTGAAGTTATATATTAACACCATTGAATGCTGTCTCAGTGGTCTATAGGTTAAGCGTTAGCGCACGATACCGATAGGTCCTGTGTTTGAATTCTCCGAAAGGTATTTTGGATGCGCAATGTTGAGGTGTTCCATACTTGAAAGAAACAACTGTCTAGTACTTGCAGGTTTTCCATGGTTGTCTAACTTTGATTGACTTACGAATTCAACTATTAAATTACTAAAATCTCCAAAAAACCTCCTTATTTCAAAAAGATTCAAAGAATTCTGTGGTACACTGTTTAACTGAATTATGTAAATGATTTTGAAAGTCATTTAATACAATGATGCATTATATATTTTATCATGACAACGTTTTTCTTATTGGAAAGGGTTTTCCAGGTGAAATAGGATATTTATTGTAAGTTATGGAGTTTGTCAAGTGCTTTTTAATTATTATCACAGATTGACGTTTGTAGGAAATCACTGAATTACTGATGACAGTGTTTGGAATTACTCAGATAGTATATAACTTTGATGAAGACTAACTTAACATTGAATATTACTTGCAAATGTCTTTCCTTAAACATACTGATCAGTTAAACTGAATTCGTATTTTCAATGATAAATAAATGTTTTCTAATTATTCAAGTAAAATACTTTTGTGTTTTAAGTCTATATGCAGAAAAATACGTATAGTATTTACTGCACCGAAAATTTAAAAACTAGTTGACCTCTATTTGCTTTGAACTATAATCTACTTTGAATATTCACAGAACGTTAGCTGATTTTTGTAGGTTTTCGAAGTTAAAACAACAGGAATGTATTTATATCAAGTTGAACAAAAAGAATTCGTTCAATGAAACATGTCTCAAGAACTTGGAATGGTAACACTGAGAGTCATACACCAAAATCTGCCATGATTTTGGAGACTGTATTCTTTTGAGAAAAATGCCTGAAATCCCAAATTTCGGTAACTCTCGTTTTTATTGATAAAGGTTGTTTCATGAGTGTTTTGTAAGGCTCAATGAAAGATTTAAAATCACAAAGCGTTTTATTGTATTTGTGTTGTGATGGAATAGATCGTGCCTTGAAATTAATGTCATTGTGACTGCCGTGATATCTAAAAGTAGTGGTTTAAAAGCCACGACATAATTCGAGTTCATTTCTATTTAGTCAAGCTAATGTTGACAAATATTCAGTATGCTTCTCTCCAGAATTCATTTATTGAATCTGTTGTGAACCATAACATGATAACAATCATATATAACATAACTATTCACACAATCTACCAACGATATCTTAATCAACTTACCATTAATTCCTTCAAGAAATATAAGTGATAATGTTAGCACTACCGTAGATAGTAGAAAATCGGAATGCATTATTTCATCTAGATTGTTGTGAAAAGTGTAACAAAAGGATATTAATATATACTATTGACTAGACATAACAGGTATTTATGAACGGATTAAGATTTATATTTGTAACCCTACATGTCGACAAATCGATTATATGCAGAATTTGTATTCTTCAAAGTAATTTGATCTAAATAAACATTACCGTTTTGGTATGGATCAAGTTTCTATTTAAGTTAAAACTATACTTCTATAAAATGATGACTTACCCTAAGTGTATAACATGATTTTTAGAACTGAAATTGATCTCTTAGTGAAGTATACATAAGAGAACAATTAAATCTTTTTTTAAAATATACATTTACTGTGAAAATATTTTGTGTAGTTTATACATATTACTGATTTTTATTCAAAGTAGTAATAAATTGTAGTTTTTAAAACAATAATTCGATCGAAAATGAAGTGGACGGATTTGATCAATGATTTTCAATATATCAAAGCCCACAGCTGTCGTGGTTTATATTCCTTTGTAGCCTGAATCAATCCTTTAAGATATAATTGTGATAGAGATCGTACACTATGCTGGAATTGATTTGTAAACATTTGGTATGTTGAAAACTATGATTCATTGATACCATCATGTTTAATGTTTAGTGGTGACCGTAAAATGTTGATACAGATCTAGCCTTATGAAACAAATATAACATAATGTTAAAAAATAACTGTTTAACTCTATTTCATACTATCTAGTTTCTTTATGTGTATTTCATGATTGTTAAAATCAAACGGAAATATTTGAATATTCAACAATAATGACTGAGGAGTTACCAACTGGTATACATTTGATTACTTCTGTGAAGTGAGTATTCCACCATTTTTACCATTCAAAACACTCACAGAATTCGTAGTTTAGTCTCATTTATAGGCATTAACGATCAAACAATAACTGAGTTACAAGTCATTTTCAATATTTTCATTGTATGTATAGCTAACTGAAATAGATGTGCAGTTTTATTCAATAGTGTGTTAGACATAGAAGGAACAAATGTTTCATTACTCACCTCTCTAGAATAGAAGTGGACAAGTAAAATGTTAACACTGTCTTGTCATAATATACAACTTGATAGAAAACTGTGCAGAGTAGAAACGAATAAGTTTGACTTCATTTTGTGGTATTCATAAATCAATGTCACCCATAAACCAACCTAATCCCTTACTTCCACTTTTAAAAAACCAAAAGACATAACAGAAGAAGAAGAAGAAGAAGAAGAAAATTCAGTATCTGAAGAGTAAATATTCACGACTGAGATGAGCCATATAGTGGATAAAGTGTACGTAATCTTTACTTACACATTTACAAACATAAATCATCACCAAGACATCACGGTTTACAGTCACTGATATCAACGTAAGTAGATAACAATAGACATAGATTCAACTGGGAAACATTTAAATTCTAGATTGAGATAACTCTAATTGTACCAGGGAATTTCCAGCATGATATTCACGTCAATCAGTAATCAATAGACACACAAGTTTACACCTGATATATGAAATCGTTAGAAAAAGACTAGCCAACCGTATGGTTGTGGATCAATGGAACAAGATAGTCAAAGTGAATACACAAACAAATTGAAACTACGAAACCTACGACGAAAGCCAATCATAGGCAAGGCTCACAGAACAAACTGATTTTTAGTCTAATCAAATAACTAAGTTCACTCGTATCTGAAGTGAGGGTTTATGTTTTTTACAATGCCGATGAAAACTCCGTTATCACGCCATCTAGCTCAGAGCACATAACAAATTCAAAGTATCTATCTCAGCGATTAATCTTTTACATCATTAATTATGATATTATTACAGATTCTTGCTTTCCAAGAATATGTATTCACTACTTTTAGACAATGCTGAAAAAATGATGTAGTGAATGATTTTAACTGATTATTTAATAAATTCATGCTACAGACTAGCGATTGCCGCCAGCTTTGTTAGGTGTAAACATTTCATCTTCATGCATTAAATTTTCTACAAGAAACTATCTGTAAGTTAACACATTTGTATTACTAGAAGTGAAGGTAGCATTACCGCCAAGTGAATCTGTGGTTTTTTTTTACTAACTAATGATTCCTTTTTACTTGATTGCACTCTTAATATGAATTTCAAATATAATACGTTCAATGTGGGATTGTGGAGATTGTTAAGTTTTTGATTGAGATCATGAATCAATATACGTTAGACCATCATTAAAAACCTAGAAGCACTGGAAGGCCGTTTCATCCTAGTATGGGACTACTCAGCAGTGCGCATACACGACCGCACACGCGAGATTTGAATCCAGGAACTTTGGTGGTCTAGGAGTTAAGTGTTAGCGTGCAAACTAGGAATCCAACAAATGACGCAATTTAACCAAGAAGTATTAGATGAGTATGAATTCGAAATCAGGGAGTAATCAAGTACAAAGTAATCATTATTTCATACAAACACCACAGTTTATTCTCATAATTGTTCTCCCTTTGTGACAAAATAAATGTGGCCATAAGCTCACAAAAATGATGAATTATTCTGAACTGAGTAATTTTCATTATAACTAATCAATTATTTTCAAAGGAACCTCTACTGTTCAGCAAACACATCAGTTAGAGAAACATTGAGGACAAAGAAGATTGGTTTACGCCTGTGAATAATCAACTGTGCTTACGCACTTAACCAGTAAAGATGGAACTCATGACCTTAAGTTTCCAAGTCGAGCGTGGTACATTTAGACAAGTGAATAGAAGTCTATTGGTTTCACTGACTATTGTTATTCAATTTAATACAGAGCATATAATAACAAACGTCCAAGGAAAGCTATATTTTGGAAATCCCAAGCGAAACAGTTGGTTTCAATATGTATAACTGATCATTGTATGGGATTATCATTACTTATCTTTTTCCAATAACAGATTGAGGCGGTAAACTTCTGCGAATTTCGCTTTCATGCCATTCATGGCATTTTTCAAAGAAGATTGTAAATTTTGAGGAAATGTGTGAATAAACAACCGCTTTCACTCACTCTGCCATAAATTCTGATTTTTTTCAGAATATCTAATTCACACATCTGGAGTATATTAGCTACTGAAAGATTTAAACCTGTAACAAGCCCTTCCAACTACTGTATTATTTGTGCTTTCTTTGTAATTTAGACATTTAATCGACTTTGCAAATTTATGTGTGAGTGTGATTGAGCGCATGTGTCTGCACATCAATCTCTAATTTGTTCTCTCATTGGTTGTAATCAAAGACGATCAATAATTTATCCACAATCTATTACCACTCATAAATATATTTGGATTTTCAACACTCATTAACACACACACAAACTCACTGACTGGTTTTCCCTGTGTGTTTGTAATCTATAGACTTGCGGATTTTTACCAAACTTCAACAATAAACTATCTCTATAATTGCTGTTCAGGTGTTTGAATAATCTTGAGTGAACCCATAATTCTACCAGATTATTTATTTATTGCAGTCAGATATATAGGAATTGATGCTCTACGAAATTGATGAGCCGCATTTGGAACGCGTACCATCTCTCCACAAGTCTGCCGCATATTCTCCAATCATATCATAAAGAACTTCACATTTGAATTGCTGTTTCAATTATAAAAATTCGCATATTTGTACCGAAAGTGTCAGTTTTTTTATTCGGTGAGTCTCTCATTTTGCTACACACCTACTATTATTATTTTGAAAGATTTTGAATAATTAAATTCAAAAGAAAACTTGCTTTTTCACTCATATGAAAAGCAACAAAACTGTTTTATTGTTGCGTTATGCCATCCAACCATCCTTTTTTTCGTGTGGTAAAGTAGTCGGCTTCAGGAGTATTGAGAGTTAAAATTACTTGGAACACAGATTGAATCTGAAAAATCTACACTTTATATTAATCAAACGTCTTATCAAATAATGACGGTTAGGCGTTTTTCATGCCTTTCTTCCTCTGGTTCCTGTTCTTTGGATTTTAATTATAGAACATTTTCATAGATTTGGAGGTGTTTAAGAAATCAGAGTACAGTGTTGGATTCCAAGATGTACCATGTATAATTATTATCATTATCGTTTATGTGAATGTTTACTGTGAATAAATAGAATGCTTCAATAAACAAATTATGTAACAATATTATCAGATGAAATTCGAAATATGAATATTTGCTTTATAAAGGCTTGTTTTACGGACTCATTTTTTTCTTTTTGTTGGTACAGTTATGCCTAAATCAATGAAGAATATTTGTTCAAAGATTCGTTATTGAGATATGTATATATATATGGACTGTATTTATCTTTTGTATTTCCTATTAATGTTTACTTCTGGTAATAATGTAGTTATTTTATTAGTCACTTAAATGTTTATCATATATTCTGTTCATCATATTTAAAGTATGGATGGCATAAAAGAAGACAAATATTTCTAATAATAGTATAGTATTATTTTGTTTAATGCATGTAGTGAGGCACTTCATTGTTAAAACAACTGGAAGCTACTATAATATGCGAAAGCTTTCCAATTTGATAAATTTCCATGCTTACATAAATTATTGATTAGATCAGATTTCAATTTTGGACTGTAGTAAGAAGAAGACTTGACAGAGTAAAAGAAATTACATGAATCTAAAAGTTATTTTGGTCCTCCTCCATATTTTGTTTTCAAATCTTGAAGGAAGAAATCGAATGTTCCTTGTAAACGTGTACATAAGTTCACCCTGTTATTAAAGAAAGAAGACAATTCAGTTAATTGATCACACAGTAAATGATAAAATCCATAGTGTTATTAAGGCATCATCAATGTTCATATAAAGTCCGAAAAATCGATGATTCGGTATCAATTATTGTACTCTACTCATTAGCGACTGGACAAATGCAATTACATTGAATAGCTTATATAGATGGCCTAACTTCACAATAACCTAGGTCGGTTCTTAAGTAATGTCATGATGCGTTTTCTAAAAGGAAGCCTCAACTTATAGAGAAAACAATGTTTCGAGAGGGCTAGTTAGCCACTGATAATATTAGACGATTACATCCTTGAAAGTAGATCACTGGTTTTAAACTTCGTGAGTAATGGAACATAACAACATAATGAGACTTCAAGTTAAGTGATCCATCGCTTATTCCGGTTCATGAATAAACCAAAACCATATTTGATAATTTTGAATAAATTGAGCATCGGGTAGATTTTTATAAATAAATAATATATTTGCAATATCCCAATGAGTAAATGAATTAGATTTTCTGACGTTTCGTGACTCAGTGTGAGCCACTTCTTCAGAGGATAAATTTTTAACAAATCCATAATGTCCACTACTCAACAAACTTTGTTTACTTATGAATCTTACACGTAGTTAAAGGTGAGATACACTTACCAAATTTCCGAAAGAAACTTCCTGCATATTTAAATGTTAATTAAAAATCTTTTTATAATAGAAAAATAAAATATTGACTTCTGAAAATGGTCTCAGACTTGTATTTCTTTCTCTATCATTCTATTGATTTAAGTAGTGATGCAATTTTTAATGTCAACGTGATAGAATAATGTCATTGCTAATTCCATAAGATCTCCAACCTTAAAAGTGATTCAACTATCTCGAAAGAACTAACTTATTTTGATTTACATTCTTAAACACTACAATTTCATTGTTCAGTATTAATTATCTAACATAATTTCGATTCGTTAAAGAGAATAAATTTGTTCAGTTCTAAATAAATTTTTGTCGAGTACAAGATTGACATTTTAGATCAGTCGATGACAGGGTTGGATGGAGAATGCTGGTGGGCGTCCTATGCTCCTCCACGAGGGGTAACATGTGTAAGTAAGTAAGTTGAGACATTTACTACATCAGTGAAAGGCCCAAGTTACTGAGGGTATATACACATTTTTTTCAGTAAACGTTTTCAATGCCATAATGGCTCACCATCAAATTGACTTGTGTGACTGAATGACAGTGAAAATCATAAATCTAATTCTGATTTTGAAAAGTCCATGTTAGTCTAAATGACCCACATTAAAATTAATTTCGTAGTTAAACTTACTTAAAATCGAAAATAGCTGGGAATCGAAATTTGTATTCCGTTAGTTTTCTGTTATCAAAGTAATGTTATCAAATAACATATTTTATATGTTCAATGAGAAATAGAAAAGTAAGATTTCTGAGTGGTTGCTAAAACTGTACCGAGGTTTTGTACTTTTCTCAGCGCAGTAACTAAGCTAAATGAATACATTATGTTAAAGTGATGATACATTGTTATTATACGGTTTACCATTCTTGAGTTATCCCTAGACCATTAATTACTGTTCAGAAATTTCATGCAATTGGTTCCCTTTATGAACTTAAATAAAGCAAGAACAAACATTGATGCAGAATAGTATGAATTCATATTATTTCGAGGTTTCTCGTCAGCTGCTTACAAACCAAAATTGTGATAGAATTTTTACATGAAGATAGTGTGAAACAATTGACATAAATGAGTGTAAATAACGTGATTACAATAATAACTATATATATATGCTAGAAACAGGTCAGAGGTCAAAAGAGGGAGGTTAATCCAGGGTGGGTGGTGTAATAATTTAGTGAAGTTCATAAATTGTGTGATAATTGTAGAGATTAATGGAATTGACTAATGATAAGGTAGATTACGTAATAATAATTAAATAGGGTTTGGAAAGTTAAGATGATTTAAGAGGATCAGGTGGTGGAAATGTGTGAATAAAATTTATTTTAAGAATTAGGCAATAGGGGGGGGGAGTAAAATTATCTTAGAATAAGTAAATGAATAAAATAACCAAAACAGAAACAAAAGGATTACCAGGGTAGTGATAAGTTTATTAAAGTCTCTTTTTGGATGCATAAGTCCGGTTTCAGTTTCTTAATTGCAATGGCTTCAGCAAAGCGGAGTGGTAGTGGTTCTTTGTCTATTGATAATTTTAAACGCGCACATAATATCGACGGTATGCCCGGTGTCAAGTAGATGCCGAGCTATTGCACTGTTAAAAGCTTTAGTCCCTCGCAGCGTCAAGTTCTTCGGAATATGCTCAGAAATGCGAACCTGTACTCTTCTCTCAGTTCTTCCAATGTATGTGCTACGGCACGTACATGTGAATTGGTAAATGCAGTTGGAGCAACAGAGGGGAGAGGACTTGTCGATTTTCGTTTGTTTCAGTGAACGGTATGTTTTCCATAACGTAGTCACTTTGGCTGCCGGGTAGGTCACTTTTAAAGCGGAATTAATTCTGTGATTGATAATTCCGGCGACTTCATCTCCTTTGAAACGTAAGGATGGGAAGCAGGTTTTCTTTTCAACTGTATCATGCTTAATCGGAGGGTTTGTATTAGCATATTTGTGGATGAATTTATCCGGATATGCATTTTCGCGTAGGCATTTGGTGATTGTAGTAATTTCTTCTTCGAGGCATTCTTTTGAGCAGATTTTTCGTGCGCGGTCAAAAAGGTTTCGCACAATACCCTTTTTATAGCTCATTGGACAGAAGCTGTTAAAGTTGCGATAAACTCCGCTCCAAGTATTTTTGCGGTTCGTTATACGTATAACGAACTTAAACCAAAAGGGTCACAATTGCATACATACAATTTAAATTTAACAATGTTCTGTACCGACAGATTGATGGAATAGCAATGGGCAGCCCTCTAGGCCCAATTCTTGCCGACATTTTTATGGGACATCTGGAACAAAAAAAACTGAAGCACGCAATCGACAGTACCACACTCTACTGCAGATATATGGATGACACGTTCCTTGTCTGCAAAAATCACCAACACTCCATGTACCTACTAAGTCTGTTCAATAAAGTACACAAAGATATAGAATTTACCATGGAACATGAAGTTGATGATAAATTCCATTTCATAGATATTGGAATTAGGCGAACATCGGACGGCACACTACAAAGACACATTCACCGCAAAAATACTTGGAGCGGAGTTTATCGCAACTTTAACAGCTTCTGTCCAATGAGCTATAAAAAGGGTATTGTGCGAAACCTTTTTGACCGCGCACGAAAAATCTGCTCAAAAGAATGCCTCGAAGAAGAAATTACTACAATCACCAAATGCCTACGCGAAAATGCATATCCGGATAAATTCATCCACAAATATGCTAATACAAACCCTCCGATTAAGCATGATACAGTTGAAAAGAAAACCTGCTTCCCATCCTTACGTTTCAAAGGAGATGAAGTCGCCGGAATTATCAATCACAGAATTAATTCCGCTTTAAAAGTGACCTACCCGGCAGCCAAAGTGACTACGTTATGGAAAACATACCGTTCACTGAAACAAACGAAAATCGACAAGTCCTCTCCCCTCTGTTGCTCCAACTGCATTTACCAATTCACATGTACGTGCCGTAGCACATACATTGGAAGAACTGAGAGAAGAGTACAGGTTCGCATTTCTGAGCATATTCCGAAGAACTTGACGCTGCGAGGGACTAAAGCTTTTAACAGTGCAATAGCTCGGCATCTACTTGACACCGGGCATACCGTCGATATTATGTGCGCGTTTAAAATTATCAATAGACAAAGAACCACTACCACTCCGCTTTGCTGAAGCCATTGCAATTAAGAAACTGAAACCGGACTTATGCATCCAAAAAGAGACTTTAATAAACTTATCACTACCCTGGTAATCCTTTTGTTT